TATGTGCTGTTGTACAATAAAAGAGTGATTTTCTTCTATGGCACGAGAAGAAGAGTGGCTCAACTTGGCTCAGACCTGAACAGACACGAAGCGGGTGGGTTGGAAATGATCCATGCTTAGAATGACTCCAGGGTAGGAAAAATGGTAGCAGCAGACAAGGCATTTTATGTTGAAATAGCAATTCAGGAATGGAAGGATTGTTGGGGAAAAAAAATCAGTCCTTCGGGATGCATTGGATCAAGGAAAAAGGACACGCCTCACTAAAAAAAGAGCCGAGGTGGCGCAGTGGTTAGAGTGCAGTACTGCAGTTACTTCAGCTGACTGCTAGTTCAGCAAATCAGCGGATCCAATCTCACCGGTTCAAGGTTGACTCAGCCTTCCATCCTTCCAAGGTGGGTAAAATGAGGACCCAGATTGTTGGGGGACAATATGCTATTTAGTATACTGTCTTTGGTGTAAGCCACCCAGAATCCTCAGAGAGTGGGCGGCATAGAAATATGACTAATAATAATAATAATAATAATAATAATAATAATAATAATAATAATAATAATAATAGACTCTGGAAGAGATCCATTGGAATTCACGCCAGGAAGTCATTTCATAGAATCATAGGGCGGGAAGGATTTGGAGCAGGGATGAAATCCAGCAGATTCTGGCAGGTTCTGGAGAACCGGTAATGGATATTTTGAGTAGTTCGGAGAACCGGCAAATACCACTTCTGGCTGGCCCCAGAGTGGAGTGGGAATGGAGTTTTTGCAGTGTCCTTCCCTTGCCACGCCCACCAAGCCAAGCCCACCAAGCCACGCCCACAGAACCGGTAGTAAAAAAAAATTAGATTTCACCACTGATTTGGACGTCTTCTAGTCCGTTCTTTTGCTCAAGACAGAAGACCTTATACCAGGGGTGTCAAACACAAGGCCCGCGGGCCAATGCGAAGAGGAGACATTGGACCAGTGTGGCTTCGGCCCAGTCTACCCAATGCAAAGAGGAAACATGTCAGCAGTTTGGGGAGTGGCTTCAAGATGGCCACGCCCACCTAATCAGCCATGCCCGCCCAGTTGGCCATACCCAGTGAGTGGCATCAAGCTGGCCGCACCCACCCAATTGACTATACCCACCCAATTGGCCATGCCCGCATGGCCCCACGAGATCAACCACAGCCCTGATGTGGCCCTCAATGAAATTGAGTTTAACACCCCTGCCCTATACCATTCGAGACAAGTGGCTGTCCAGTCTCTTCTTAAAAGCCTCCAGTGATGGCACCCACAACTTCTGGAGCCAAGTCATTCCACTGATTCATTCTCAGTGTCTGGAAATTTCTCCTTCCTTCTAGGTTGGATCTCTTCTTAACAAGCTTCCACCCATTACTTCTTGTCCTGCCCTCAGGTGCTTTGGAGAATAAGTCAATCCCTTCTTCTCCGTGGCAACTCCTTGAGTACTGAAAGACATCGTGTCCCCTTCTACCACTACTGGCTTAGGTGCTGCTTTCTCTCGCGGTCTGAGTCTCGAGCTGACAGCAGCACCTAAAACAGTAGTGGTAGAAGGGGACACATACTGTACCTACCGTAGTTTCCTCAATCATTCATTGTATCGTACAACCTCCAGTCTCCTTATCATATTTGCTGCTCTTCCCTGGACTCTTTATAGCAGTTTCTCTCAACCTTGGTAGCTTGAAGATAGGTGGACTTCAACTCCCAGAATCCCCCAGCCAGCAGCCATCTTCAAGCTTCCAAGGTTGAGAGAAACTGCTTTATAGGATCTCAACATCTTTTTTTGTAGTGTGGTGACCAGAACTGGACACAATATTCTTTCAGTTTACATTCAGTCCTTTTTTTTGGAACAGAGGTGAATGGTATAGTCCATTTTAGGCTCTGAGTTACTCTTTATTTATTTATTTATTTATTTATTTTATTTTTCAAACAAATATACAATGCATTTTTTCTGAACAGAGTATTGGCCGAGCCAAAATTTGTACCGCTTTTAGTTTCTCAAACACCATTTTAATATATTTCATTTTTCGCCATACAATTCTTTCTCTCTAATTTTTTATTTTATTTTCCTTCTATTTCTTCTAATATATAAACAGTATTACCGTTCGCCCTAATCTTAATCAGTTTTTATTTTTCCACTCCTCTCTTTACTTTTTTTCAAATTGAAACCCTTTAAATTGAAATCAATCATTTTTCTAAAATCTAAACCTAACTCTAAATTCTCTTATTCAAATATTCTCCCGTTACTTCCTTTTCACAATATAATATAATTTCAAATATTTTCCCTATATTCCATCATTCCACTCATAATTATTTAGTAGTCGGCAGTTTTACATATATCTCTCTCAATTATAATATAATTTGAAATTATATTGTATTGATGTAGAAATGAATGACTTTAAAATGAATTGTAGTAATATATTTAAATGGAGTATTCGGATAAATTGGAAAAAAAAAGAAAGAAATAGAAAAGAGGGAAGGAAATGGGTTATTTATGAAAAAAGGTATGAATATTATGATTTAGGATTATATTACCGTATTTTTCGAAGTATAAGACGCACCTTTTTCCCCCTTAAAAGGGGGTGAAAATTTGGGTGCGTCTTATACACTGATGTAGCCCCGCCCACTCACTGGCCCCCACCCTTTGGCCTCTGCCTCACAGCAGTTACCTCCTTGCAAGCAAACAGCAAGAAAAAACAGCTCCTTTCAGCTTCAGCACAGCCTAATTAGCACAAGTTGATTGGATCGGCCTCCCGACTCTCAGCTGTTTTGCTCTCAGCTGTTTTGCGCAGGGCTCTGCTGCTTGCTGCAAAGAGATAAATTGCTAGAGCAGATTTTTTTTTCTCCTTGTACTAATCAAGCTATGCTGAAAATGAAAATGAAAGTAAAGCAGGCTGTTTGCTGTTTGCTGCAACGAGGCAAAATTGCTTAGAGGCAGAGGCAGATTTCTTTTTCTTCTTTTCCTCACCAAAAAGGGTAGGTACGTCTTATACTCCGATGCGTTTTATACTCTGAAAAATATGGTATTTGGTTAATTTGATAAAAAAGAAATGGAAGGCTCTGAGTTACTCTTAAGGCTCTGCAGCTTAAGAACATATCCAATTCCTTCTCTCCAGAGTGCTGAGGTTAATATGGTGAGTCTGTATTAGTTGGGCCTCTGTACTGTATTTCTGTATCTTTTATTTTTCTTGTTATTTTAGTCTGGGCTGCAACTGTTTTTGGGTGGAGTTTGTAAACCGCCTAGAATCTTCTGGAATAGCAGTTTTGCTACTTTGGACTTCAGCTCTGCTTCTTAGGCACTTCCCAAAACAGGTCTCTAGGGGAAATTTTGGTGTTTGGCATAAAAACTGTCAATCTCTCCTCAACCATTAGCCTGAAAGGATAGTAAACACTATCTTAATAGTGAAAGTGGGAGTTTCTATCAAAGCGGCCGTGAACTTGTATCGAAGGGGTGATAGCCGCTCTCTGGTGTTGCCTGTACTTGAGCAAATGAAGCAGAGTCTTGGTTTTAATCCTTGGCTGGATCCCCATTAGGAAGCGGTGGGAAAGTGCTTCTGTAGGGTTGCCAAGAGAACTTCTGTGTCTCTTTCTCGCTCTCTCCATCCATGTAGTTAGGAGCTGAACTTTCCCCGAGGGTGACTTTACCACATGCTCGCTTAATCTCGGCTGCTGAAACCCAGCCGCCAAGGAGAAATATGTATACATGAAATGGCACATGCCCAGGCCACCAGAGTCTGTGGGTGCCTTGAAAGGACACAGGGATTTCAGCATTCTGAGAAACAGTGTTTTTGCAAGGATGCCCTCCTCAAATACTTTTTACAGCTTTTGTCGAAAGTAATGCTAGTTCTAATTTAGAAATGTAATTGTGTTGCTGGCATATATCATTTAGGACCTCCAGTGGGGTCTATGACAATTCGTCATGGCCAACTTGCCATGGTAACTTGCCACCGTCAACTCACCATGGCCAACTTGCCATGCCCAACTCACCGCAGCCAACTTGCCACGGCTAATTCACCACAGCCAACTTGCCATTGTCAACTCACCATGGCCAACTCACCACAGCCAACTTGCCACGGTCAATTCACCATGGGCCAACTTGTCATGGCCAACTCATCACAACCAACTTTCCATGGCCAACTCATCACAGCCAACTTGCCACGGTCAATTCACCATGGCCAACTTGTCATGGCCAACTCATCACAACCAACTTTCCATGGCCAACTCACCACAGCCAACTTGCCACGGTCAATTCACCATGGCCAACTTTCCATGGCCAACTATCACAACCAACTTTCCATGGCCAACTCACCACAGCCAACTTGCCACAGTCAATTCACCATGGCCAACTTGTCATGGCCAACTCATCACAACCAACTTTCTATGGCCAACTCACCACAGCCAACTTGCCACGGTCAATTCACCACGGCCAACTTGCCATGGTCAATTCACCATGGCCATCTGCCATCTGTCAGAAATGGTGTAGGGCGGGGGGTTGGACTATGCGACCTACAAGGTCCCTTCCAACACTGTTAATCTAAAAAAAAAACCCCAAAAACCCAAAATAATAGTATTGGAGATGTTCCTTTACAAAGAAATAAGGTTCTGCAGGAAGCAACTTTTCCCTTCCCTGTTACACGGGGTGCGTGTGTCTGCATTTGCAGATGCTTGAAACCTGTTGTATAGATTTATCCGCTTTCCTTGTTGCTACGCATGTAAGGTTTAAAAGGAGAAGGTGAGGCAAGCAATCTTTGCAGATTACACTTGGACCAAGAAATATAAAAGCATCCAGGCTGATGTATCTGACATGAATGCAAACCTCAGGAGGACGGGCAGTCAGGAAGCAGAGGTTAGCCGAGAGGCAAAAAGCTACAAGCATTATTTTCAGATACAAAGGCTTGAAAGCTTTCTCCTCTGCGTCTTTCTCGTTTCTCCTTTAACGTTCTCTCTTGACTTTGGGGGGAGCTTAATGCAAATAACGTCGCTAACCTCCCTCTTCTCTTTCGCTAGGTGTTTGTGACCACCGTGTGGCATTTTGAGCCCTACATGGTGCCCTTAGCGTTGCTGATGCTCTTTGTGTACAACATCTCCCTGAGCAGTCCTGACAAAGCCTTAATCATACAAGACGCCCAGGTAGGTATGGTGTGTGTGTGTGTTATTTTTGTTTTTTTCCAGGTCCATCTGGGACTTCATTTGTGGAATGCAGGAGAATGAGAATCAGAGAAGGGCAACTTTTCCTAGATCAGGAGTCGGCAACCTTAAACACTCAAAGAGCCACAAAGGTCCTAACCGGAAGCCCCCCGTTCAGTTCTGAAGCTGACCGGAAGTCCGGTTCCCCCACCATAGAGTCTTCCTCCTATCACGGCGTCCTTTTTCCTTTGCTGACTGGAAGTCCGGTTCCCCCCCTCCCCCACCACCACCATAGAGTCTCCTCCTATCACAGCATCCTTTTTCCTTTGCTGACCAGAAATCTGGTTCCCCCCTTCTCCCCCACACACCATAGAGTATCCTCCTAGCACGGCGTCCTTTTTCCTCTACCTGTCCTAACCGAAAGCTCTATTAATTGTGGAGCCAACCAGCGACAAGGAGCCGCAGCAGGGGGATGAAAGAGCCACATGCGGCTCCAGAGCCGTAGGTTGCTGACCCCTATCCTAGACCAACACCACTCTCCTCCTTTGAGGACCATGCTGACATGCGTTGATAAATCCCAGTTGATAACCCTTAATTGTAATTGCTCCATGAAACACAGCCTGGGAATCCTGTAATTGCCTGGGGAAATCAGTTAAAATCACTAAGAGTGCTTGTTGGTTCTCCAAAAAGTGGGTGAGGTCAGAATAAGAATTTATTCATTTCCCGGACTTACGAGTTGCTCCACTGTTATCAACTAATACCACTCTATAAAGCCTTAGTAAGACCACACCTAGAGTACTGCATCCAGTTTTGGTCACCACACTATAAAAAGGATGTGGAGACTCTAGAAAGAGTGCAGAGAAGAGCAACCAGGATGATTAGGGGACTGGAGGCTAAAACGTAGGATGAACGGTTGCAGGAACTGGGCATGGCTAGTCTAGTGAAGAGAAGGACCAGGGGAGGCATCAGAGCCGTCTTCCAATACTTGAGGGGCTGCCACAGAGTGGAGGGGGTCAAGCTGTTTTCCAAAGCACCTGAAGGCCAGACAAGGAATAATGGATGGAAACTGACCAAGGAGAGATTCAACCTGGAAATGAGGAGAAATTTTCTGACCGTGAGAACCATCAACCAATGGAACAGAAGTTGCCTTTGGAAGTCGTGGGAAGTTCATCACTTGAGATTTTCAAGAAAAGATTGGACTGCCATTTGTCAGAAATGGAATAGTGTCTCCGGCTGGAGCAGGGGGTTGGACTAGATGACCTACAAGGTCCCTTCCAACTCTGTTAATCTGTAAAAACTCTGAGCAGCAAACAACAGTCTCATGAATGAATATTCAGTCTCATGAATATGCGTCCCAGGATAACGCTGTAGGATCTAATCTGACTCGGTCACCAGGACCAAAGTTTTACTCTTCCAAGCTTTGGGATTCATGCTGGAGCTCATCATAGGAAACTTCTCCCAAGTGTACCCTGGGATGTTCTACAAGTTGTATTTATATGGTGCCTGGTTGTGTGTAGCTTTCAGTTGTTAATTAGTGTATTGAAGGCTGGCTATTAAGTTGTTGATTGTTGATTCTCTGTGCCATGTCCTCGGCTGCTAAGTACCGTAATTTTCAGAGTATAAGAAGCAGCTTCCCCCCCCCCAAAAAAGAGGGTGGAAATCTGGGTGCGTCTTCTCAAACGGAGGTTTCAGAGGCTGAAAAAAGCATCAGAAATGAAGCTTCAGAAAAAAAGCCTCCAAACAGAGCTTCAGAGACTTTTTTTCTGAAGCTCTGTTTCGGAGGCTTTCAGAGGCAGAAAAAAAAAGCAAAAAAAAAAAAAAAAAGCAAGGCACAACCAACGAACCTGTTGCTAAAATTCACCTCTGGGAACAGCTGATTGGGGGTATTCTGAGAGGCCGGTCCACCCGCCAATCAGCTTTTTTCTTATTTTCCTCCCCAAAAACTAAGGTGCATCTTATACTCCAGTGCATCTTATACTCCGAAAAATACGGTATCCGATAAGTTGGTGGTAAATCAGCACTCCTGTTGACTGACAAGGAGCCCATTTCCCAGGCTTCATTCATTTCTCTCTAGCTATTTTTGTCCCTGCTCAGCCGACAATCATAGTAGTTTCGAAATTGAATGCATGTCCTTGTTCATTGCTGTATGAGGCTAACAATTAATTTGGGTCTCCCTTGTCCAACCGGTTGCTTATGTTCTCGCAAACAATAATATATATTAGCGCTTCCCAAACTTTTCCCTTCATGACCCAAAACCATTAACCAGGAAGTTGTTTTTATCCAATGTAGGCAAAATATTTTAAATCAGTTTAAACGTCCCTTTTGTGATTGGGTAATCAGTTTGTGTGTTGGTACCCTTTTACCCAGGTTTGGGAAGCACCGGATATGATTGCTTCCTGATATTTAATCATTTTTCTCTTATTTCTGTCTTAAAATTAAAATTTGTCAGCTTTGGAATGAGCTACCCCCATTTTAAGAAACATGGTGGCTCAGAGGCTAAGATGCTGAGCTTGTCAATCGAAAGGTCAGCAGTTCAGCAGTTCGAATCCCTAGTGCCGCGTAACGGGGTGAGCTCCCGTGACTTGTCCCAGCTTCTGCCAACCTAGCAGTTCGAAAGCACGTAAAAAATGCAAGTAGAAAAATAGGGACCACCTTTGGTGGGAGGAGAACAGCGTTCTGTGCGCTTTTGGCATTGAGTCATGCCGGCCACATGACCACGGAGACGTCTTCAGACAGCGCTGGCTCTTCGGCTTTGAAACGGAGATGAGCACCGCCCCCTAGAGTCAGGAATGACTAGCACATATGTATGAGGGGAATCTTTACCTTTACTTTTACCCCCATTTTGGAGGAAAGCATATACTTTGCAACAGAATTAAGAAACAGCATCTTGAAGCAGATTGGAGCCATTTAAAGATCCCTGTTTTTATTACTGTTGTAAAACTGATAATATTAATATTGCTGCTTTGGTTATGGGTCTCTTATGGGCCTCCTCTCCTGCCTCCCCAGAGATATGGCAAATTTCATTTTTACTTAACCAACCATTTTGGGCACGTTGAGAACAATGACAAATGATAAGAGACCAGGTGATCCTAGCTAAATCCCAAGTCCATTTAGCATGTTTTTTTTCTTTATTGCATCTGGAAAATGAGAGCTTTTCCCACTAGAGGGGATTTCGGAACAAACAACCCATTAAATGCAAGAGGAGGATTTTCAAAGAATGGGTATAAAAGTCAGGCAAATTCGATCTAGGCAGAGGATACAGAGTTACAAACCATTGCTCTCCATCATTCCTCCTCTGGTGTCTCTTCAGTGGCTCACTAAAATCCGAGATGTTGTGAAATACAGCTAAGTAGATGATGGATGTTGTTATAGATTATTCTTTTTTTTTTGCAGAGAATGCTCTTGTTTCCTGATCCTGCTGTGTCTTTGCAAAGTTCTCTTTCAATGAATGTGTACTCAACTCTTCTGCAAGCTCAAAATGTATATTTTTATACCTCATTTTTGGGGTAATGAGGTATAGCCATGAACCCTTTGTTCATGAAAGAGAGAGACAGGGAGAGAGAGATTGATGGATGAACAGATGGATGGATGGACAGACAGGCAGATGGAAGATAGATAGATAGACAGAGACAGAGACAGAGGTAGAGGTAGAGGTAGAGGTAGAGATAGACGGACGGACGGACGGACGGACAGACAGGCAGGCAGATGGAAGATAGATAGATAGATAGATAGATAGATAGATAGATAGATAGATAGATAGAGACAGAGACAGAGACAGAGACAGAGATAGAGATAGAGATAGAGATAGATGGACGGACAGGAAGGCAGGCAGATGGAAGATAGATAGATAGATAGATAGATAGATAGGTAGATAGATAGATAGATAGATAGATAGATAGATGATAGACAGACAGACAGACAGACAGACAGACAGACAGACAGATAGATAGATAGTTATGGGTGGACGGACGGACAGTCATTATGTTGTTCCCCAGATTTGTTGGCATAGTGTGGCTGAATCATTACTGATGTTTTTATTGCGTGCCATATATCTGTAGATACCCCATCAATTCCAAAAGCTTTCTGATTTGGTAATGACCAGGAGGATTGAATAACAGAATAATAGAGTTGGAAGGGTCTTTGGAGATCTTTTAGTCCAACCCCCTGCTCAAGCAGGAGATCCTGTGCCATTCCAGACAAATGGCTGTACACTCTCTTCTTGAAAAGCTCCAGTGTTGGAGCACCCACAACTACTGGAGGCAAGTTGTTTCACTGATTAATTGTTCTCAATGTCAGGAAATTTCTGCTTAGTTCTAGCTTGATTTTGTCCTGACTAGTTTCCATCCACTGAAGTTTGACGTAACTTCATCTTCTTGTCCATCCTAGACGTTTTCATAAATAGGGAGTATCTTCCAAACTATTTTGGATGTTGACCCTCCTTACAGTTCGGTAGACTTCTTCCATCTCTGTTTGATCTTATTTGAATCATCTCCCATCCATACATTGGCAACTTTTAGGAAACAAATTCAAAGTTGGAAGCTCTGTCTGAGTTCTTTTGGAAAGCTGTTCTTGTTTTTCCATGTCTGCTTCCATGTCTTTACAGATGTTGCACTATTGCTTCTCGTCTCTTCTAACAAGCTCTCTGACATTCTTTGTTCAGTTCCTGCCTGAGATCCTTGTCATTCTTGGCCTGGACTTCTCTTCTGTTCTTGGCAATTTCCACTGTCTCTTCTGTCATCATTTGTTTTCTTCTGTTTCTTCATCTTTGGCAGTCTCTTTTCACATTCACCCGTAGCAACTTTTCTTGATTTCCGCGGACCTTAATAAAGCTTTCATTTCGTTTCACAGTTCCTCTGGTTCCCCTATCAATGAGGTTTAGGACTTGAAAAAGATTCCTAATGGGGGGGATATATTCTCAGGATCACATTTCTGAAAATTCACTGGCTGTCTTCTTCTGCTTTAGCTTAACCTGGAACCTACACATGAGCATCTTATGATCTATTTCACAGTCGGCCTGGGCCCACATTTCTCTGTTATATTTTTCTGAACTCTTCCTTGTAACTGAACTCTTATAACTGAGCCCTTCCTTTTCCTTGTGCCAATAATATGGTCAAGTTGATTTCTGTGTGCTGTGTTTAGTGACGTCCGTGTGTAAAGGTGTTGTTCTGGTGGTTGTATTAGCTTCTAGTTGAAACCCCTGCTCTAGCAGGAAACCCTACATCATTTCAGATAAATAGTTGTCCAGTTTCTTTTTGAAAGCCTCCAATGATGGAGCATCCACAACTTCTGAAGGAAAACTATTCCATTGGTTGATTGCTCTCACCATTAGGAAATTTCTCCGTAGTTCTAGGTTGCTTCTCTCCTTGGTTTGTTTCTTGTCTTGCCTTTTGGCGTTTGATTTCTATTAAGTTATGGGTGTTCCATCACTGCAGGTTTTTAAGAAGAAATTGGACAGCCATTTGTCTGGATGTGTTTCCTGCTTGAGGAGGGGGTTGCATTAGAATACATCCCAAGGTCCCTTCCAACTATGTTATTCTGTTATTCTGTTGTTGTTGTTCTGTTGTCATTCTGGTAGGGCAGGTTACATCGGCCATTTTGTGAATCAGGAAAACCATGTTTGAACGGTAGCCATTTCCTGAGAGTCTTCAGCCATGGACTCAGAATTTCCAAATTTATTTATTTATTTTATTTATTTATTAGATTTTTATACCGCCCCCTCTCCCGAAGAACTCGGGGCGGTGAACAGCCAAAATTAAAAACATACAATATAAACATTAAAATACGTTTAAAACAGAATTAAATCCAACATGGCTCCCCAATTTAAAACGCCTTACCCATGACCCTATAAATAAGACGAATTTAAAATTTAAAATTTCCACATTTAAAAAGGGGGAAGATTTAGGCCAGGACAGCTTGATAAAATAGAAAAGTCTTAAGCGCGCGGCGGAAGGTGCGCAGATCCGGGATCCTACGTATCTCCGGGGGGAGCTCGTTCCAAATCGTAGGTGCCCCCACAGAGAAGGCTCTCCCCCTAGGGGCCGACAGCCGACATTGTTTGGCCGACGGCACCCGGAGGAGCCCCTCTCTGTGGGAGCGTACTGGCCGGTGGGAGGCTATTGGTGGTAGCAGGCGGTCCCGTAAATAACCAAATAGTCAAATATGACTATTGGCACATACGTAGTTTCCATCCATTGATTCTCGTCTTGTCTTTTGGTGCTTTGGAAAATAGTTTGAGCCCCCCCTCATCTTTGTAGGAGCTCAATCACTTTTTCCTACCAATGCACGTGTTTTCCTGGTCAAATACAAAAATGGTTTACTTCTGCAATCTCTCATGCAGTAGGAAGGGATTTATTTGCAATCACTGAAGTGATCATCTGCTTCTGGCATCTTCTTATATCCCTGCTGCCTGATATAGGTGCCCGCTTGCTTCAGGTTGTACAGTTTTGATGAACTTCATGTCTTGGTGGTCCTGATGTAATACAGACTCTTGGCAGCCACTCCTGGTTTTCTTGGCTCATCCTGCTCAGGAACCCTCCAGATTCTGCACAACTAGGAGTCTTCCCTCTTCTAGTGGAGACCCAGGAGAAATTATTAAAAATGTGAAACACTTTGGCCAATTGTCTATGGAGAGTCTCAGTAATCATGGTTGACATGGTGATCATGGTTGTCCCAAGTGTGCTTTTTCAAAAGGCAACTGGACTTTATTTTTCCTTGTTTAGCTTCTCATCCAAGAAGCTTCTTAGATGAGAAGTGAAACTTCTTCAAAGAAAAACACAGTCCAGTTGTAACCTCTACTATCATCACCACCACTATCACTAAGGTGAGGCAGTATAGGCGAACATAAAGGGAGAGTAGCCATATATACCAATTGCTATAGGAATTTGTCTGATCCTCTTTGAGGCCATCTAAACCAGGGGTCTCCAACCATGGCAAGTTTAAGAGTTGTGGACTTCAACTTTAAGAGTTGTGGACTTCAACTCCCAGAGTTCCTGGGAATTCTGGGAGTTCGAGTCCACAAGTCTTAAAGTTGCCAAGGTTGGAGACCCCTGATCTAAACAATTGGCCCAAATGTTCCAATGGTGCTTTTTCAAAAGGCAACGGGACTGTGTTTTTCTTTGAAGACGTTTCGCTTCTTACCTAAGAAGCTTCTTGGATGAGAAGCGAAACATCTTCAAGGAAGAACAAAGTCCAGTTGCCTTTTGAAAAAGCATCCTTTGGAAACCCATGATCAGGATGACTGAGACTCTCCGTAGACAATTGGCCAAAGTGTTTCACATTTTCAGTAATTTTCAATAAAAGAGCCTTGGTGGCGCAGCAGACTAAAGCACTGTTAAGTAACACCAGCTGCCTGCAATTACTGCGAATTCAAATCTCATCAGGCTCAAGGTTGACTCAGCCTTCCATCCTTTCAAGGTAGGTAAAATGAGGACCCAGTTTGTGGGGGCAATAAGCTGACTTTGTATGAAAAGAACACCGCTTGGGCGGGGGGAAGCCCTACTAAGCAGGTATATACAAAAGTATGAAGGCTATTGCTTAACGCATTGTAAGCCACCCTGAGTCTCCGGAAAAGGACGGCATATAAATCGAACCAATTAATTAATTAATTAATTAATTTCTCCTGGGTCTCCACTAGAAGAGGGAAGAATCTTAGTTGTGCAGAATCTGGAGATGCCCACCATAGCAGGAAACAGAACTGAAATATTTTCTGTCTTGTATCATCCTGGGATCAAGGCAGAGAATTTGCAACAATTGTTTGCTATTTGCCTCCCTTGGGATGACCCATAGGACTCACCTTGTCATATGTTAACATCGGGGTCCATTTACCTTTTAGCTGCTCTTTGTTGCCAAGACAACTTAATATTTTGCTTTATAAAACCTCGACCTAGATTAATTTTCCCGTTCAAGTACGTAGTTGTTCTTGAACTGCCCCCTTTGTTGCAATTTTTCAACAAAACTCTTTTTAATTTTGCTTGGGTGCATCTCTTTCATTCTGCTATATTTGTGTACCTTTATCACATAGAAGGCTTATTTTTTTTTTAAAAAAAAAAATCAGCCTATTCAAATACTAGCATAACCCGTAGAATATTTTCATACATTGCCTGCAAAAATAAAAACAAAAATACTGAGATTCAAGTTGCCCTGACATTTCATCGTAACCTCGCTTTCTTTTTTAACCCTCTCTTTCAACAATTGGCGTGATAATGCTGTATAGAATTTTGTATCTGATTCTTAAGATTGATTACGTGTGTGCTAATGTGTTTTCTGCCTCCTAATGTTTTCGTAATGGCCCTAAAGGGAGGGAACAATCATTGAAATAAGCAACAATGGGAGAACAAACTGAGTGTTTGGAATCTCAGCCTTGACATTCCAACTGGTTCATTTGTCAAAGGATGAACAAAAAACCCCTTACCAGGAGAGAAACTTGGCAATGAATTAAAATAACATAAAATAAGGTCTCTCAAAACCTTGTGGCCTTCAGAACAATTAGACCTCATATGTTTTGTTAACATGTTTTCTTGGACGAGGGTTATTGGGTGCTGCTGTTTTTCTGTTGTTATTTTTTTTTTTTTAAGCTTTCACGTCCTTGAGAGTTAAAGAAAAAGATGATTGTTAAAGGAAAAAATAAATTAGCGATTTTTAATTGGCATTGTGGACATACCTATCACTCTGTTCCTTTCTGGAATAAGCAGTTTTGTGCAAAGCACAGGGAAGGTGCAAAAAATCTTAGTTGTTTTACTTTTTAAAAGCACGTGATTCCAAAAAGGATATTTTGGATTTCATGGTCCCATCCTGTGATCAAAATAGATAGATAGATAGATAGATAGATAGATAGATAGATAGGTAGATAGGTAGGTAGGTAGGTAGGTAGGTAGATAATAGATAGATGATAGACAGACAGACAGACAGACAGACAAGATTTGAATAATATACAAGGGAGCTTTTCTTCTGGTTTGTTTAACTTTCCTTTTTTTTTTTTTTGCATAAAATGCATATATTTTTCAAAAGAACTGCTTATCCATTGGACTTTTTTCAAATAGTCTAATATTTTTTCTTCTTCTTTTTATTTTAAAGGACTACATTATCGTAGAAGAGGACGAGGATGATGATGACAAGGTAAGAGGGAATAATGGAATCCGAGACCTTAAACTGGAGATAAATGTTCTGCAAGCATTCTTACACAGCTACTGGGAACATTAGTCTAAGAAGAGTAATTCCTGTACATTAGAAAATAAGGCATTGTAGAAAAACCAATTACGCATTTCAAGTGTTTATTATTGCTTTTTTTTTTTTTTTGCATCAGGTTACTACAATATACAAAAGCTGACTTTTTTTTTTTTTTAAATGTAATGAAGTACATTCTCCTCTTCCACACAACACAAGGACTTTTAGGGCTAACAGTTGGCTGGGATGTAACCCAGAGGAACATGGTTTCTATCAAGTAGATGGTTGTGTTCTTGTCAAAATATACGGAGACCTTTCTTGACCATAACACAGAGAGCTTCTGGGAATTGTACCGTTGTCTTTGGAGACTAACTGTTTACAGCTTAGAAACCCCTTAGACAGTTAATTAAAAAACAGAGGAACCAATTAATTCCTTTCCGTATGAACGGTCGAACTTTAAACTAAAAAAAAAAATGTTGGGCTGCTGGATCCTTTTTTTTTTAAAATTATTTTTTCTCCCCTCCTTTTCCAAATACTAACTGTGATGGAAAATAATAACGGTTGGTTTCCCAAGCAAGCTACCATTAAAGGTTTCTCCTCAGTGATGGCCTTTAACCACAGAAGTCTGTCTTCTTCCATGAAATTGTAAGACATCTAAAATGTCACTTTTCTCTCTCCTGCTTCCAGAGTAACACAGGTTTCATTTCATTGTGTACCAAGTGAAGGTTTTAAAAGAAGGATTTTTTTCCCCTGGAAAAAAAAAAAAGAGAGAGAGAGAGAGCTTATTTTGTCATTAAAGAAGGCCGTGCCAAGTTTTCCTGGGATTTGACCGTGTACTGAAATAGGCTTATTTAATGAGAAAACCCCCATTTCTTTTGTTTCTTAGCTTTTCATTCAGTTCTTCGACACCCAATTACATTTCTGACATTATTGTGAAAAGAAGTTTTCCCCCCTGTATACTTAAAGCGAGAGTGGACAACTGTCCCTTAAGGTTGGCTGTAGAACCTCTTCAATATACCACTTTATAATGCCTTGGTAAGGCCACACTTGGAATATTGCATTCAGTTTTGGTTGCCATGATGTAAAAAAGATGTGGAGACTCTAGAAAGAGCGCAGAGAAGAGCAACAAAGAAGATGAGGGGACTGGAGGCTAAAACATATGAAGAAGGGCTGCAGGAACTGGGTATGTCTAGTTTAATGAAGAGAAGGAGTAGGGGAGACATGATAGCAGTCTTCCAATATCTTAGGGGCTGCCCCAAAGAAGAGGGAGTCAAGCTATTCTCCAAAGCACCTGAGGGTAGAACAAGAAGCAATGGGTGGAAACTAATCAAGGAGAGAAGCAACCTAGAATTAAGGATAAATTTCCTGACAGTGAGAACAATTAATCAGTGGAACAATTTGCCTCCAGAATTGTGAATGCTCCAACACTGGAAGTTTTTAAGAAGAGGTTGGATAACCATTTGTCGGAAGTGGTGTAGGGTTTCCCGCCTGGGCAGGGGGTTGGACTAGAAGACCTCCAAGGTCCCTTCCAACTCTGTTATTCTATTCTATTCTAATACCAATATGATGGATGCAATGTGAAAGTGTGAAAAACCAGGTCCACGTATGAAGGTGCAATTAGACTGCTTTATTGCTAAAAGCCTACATACAGGAATCTTAGCTAATGATGGATACCTGGTTAGAGTTAGATAAGGGCCAACGAAACCCAAGGGGACGGGGTTGGATTTATTTTGTTTGTGGCTATGTAAGGATTCTAGGCTGATTCCCCCTTTCACTCCACTCCACCCCGCTCCTCTTCCTACAGTTGGCTTCATTCTGTTATGTGGAGGGAAAGACTTGAAAGTCCTATTTATATTCCCACCCATAAAAAAAGGATCCCATCCCCCCCCTAAAAAATGGTCTTGCCCACTGTGTATCATTATTAGGGGGATTCCTTAAACGTTCTCTGCTTACTGATTTCCCCATGGTTAATTCCTCAAAGGGGCTCAGGACCTCCTTTCCTCAAGGTCAGATTGGCCAAGACAATAGCACCATGATGGCAAATCTATGGCATGTCTGCCAGAAGTGGCACGCAGAGCCAGTTTCCGGGGACGCGAGCTGTCGCCCAACTCACCTGCAGCTGCACATGTGTGCGCTTCCCAGCTGGCGTTCGGGCCTCCGGTGCACATGTGTGCAATTCAGGGGATCCTGCTGGTGTTTGGAGCTCTCCTGTGCATGCACGCGCATTTGCACATGCGCGCAAGAGTACTGGTGCACAGCCCACACATGCGCAGAAGGCCTCTGTGCGTGTGCATTGCCCGCATGAAAACCACATGCATGCACAGATGGTGTTGTTGTACACGCAGTGCATGGGGAGGAGCGGTGCATTATCGCAGATGGCATGCACGTGCACCAGTGGTGGGTTGCCCCCGGTTCGGTCTGGTTCTTGTGAACCGGTAGTAAAACCAGGGGGAAGCTCCGCCCACCCGCCCGGATGTCGTCATAGACAATCTGTGCATGCCCAATCCCGTTGCAAACTGGTAGTAAAGGTAAATAGAACCCACCCCTGACGCGCACGAAGCGCATGAAGCATGTACCTGTTTGGCACTCGCTGAGTAAAAGGTTCGCCACCACTGCAATATGTTATAACATCCTTGGTATGTTAAAAAAAATAGCCTTTTTTGGAATAAATCCTCGACAACCTCATTATTCAGGACTGCATGACAAATGTTAAATGTTTGAATATTTCAGCCTCCCTTGGACCATGTCCATGGAGCTCATTTTCCAAAAAAACAGGCTGATTATTTTGTGGCAAAAGAGTAAAAATTCTTATTCTGTTCAACATTTTTTTTCCTTTTAAAAAACCCTCTTTTCCTTTCAAGATTGAATTTACCCTTTTGTGGCCTTGTTTAAGCCTAGTAAATTCTTTCTCTGTTCAGAAGATGAGGGGAAGGCATTAAGTAACACAAGTATTCTTTAATCAATTCTTAACTGTGAATTTATTTTCAAGGTCGTATTTTCCCCCCCCTTTTTAAATAGTACTTTTATTAACCATTAAATAAAAAGAAAAATAGAAAGCATAGAATAGAAAATCAGAGCTTTCACTGTACGTGAACAGAACAGGAAAACATGGAGGCTAAAGGCTATCAGAATGAAAAGTTAGATTAATTTACAATATTAATACAGTAATGCTAACACATCATAACCATGAATAAAAACCAAGATGAGGTTCTATTTAAAACAAATCTTATATTCATTAAAGATAGAAAAGAGCAGTGCCGTCCTTCTAGAACCTGTTAAGAATGGATCAGTAACAGTAACAGAGTTGGAAGGGACCTTGGAGGTCATCTAGTCCAGCTCCCCGCTCACGCAGGAGACCTGTACTAGGGATTCGAACCGCCGAACTGCCGACCTTTCTGATCGACAAGCTCAGTGTCTTAGCCACTGAGCCACTTCAGGATCAGGGACTTTGTGTTTCCCTGGGAAGGTATTCTGCAGTTGAGATGGCTTGCAGAAAAGGCCCTGCCCTTTTGCATCTACAGACTCTTCCTATCTTGGTGGTAGGACCTGTAGACATCTCTCTATGAAACAAGATCTGTTGTGACTCTTTGGACGTCAGAACAAATCCCTGATTCCCACTTCAATGCAATCTCTCCGTCCCAGGCAGCCCAGCAAGCTCACAAGAGAAGATGTAATATTGTGTGGCTGAATTGTGTGATCGCCACATTTTTGTAGCGCAATCTGAGATGTGTAAACAAAGCCAGCAGGATAGCTACCCAGCTGCCACATGACGGTTCTTCACAGTTCCATGTTGCAAGAACAGGCTTGCTTTGAAAGATCTCACTTGCAAATGTTTATTTCACTGCTGTTAAGAGCTGGTCAGAAGTTAGATCGAACTAGGAAAAACATGGCACTCAGTCCCCCGAGTTCGAACCGGCTTCAGCCATTCATGCTTGGAAGCGGCGCGCCGGAGCTTAGGAACCTTAAAGGCCTAGAGCAGTGATGGCTAACCTTTTTGCCGCCGCGTGCCAAAAGCGGGGGAAGCGCAGGGGGTTCGCTAACGTGCCTTCCCCCCCCCCCAGAGACCCCCAGAGGCCCTCTGGAGGCTGGAAATGGCCCATTTCCTGATTTCCGATGGGACCGGAAGGCCCGTTTTTCACCCTCTCCAGGCTCCAGAGCCTTTCTAGGAGCCTGGGGAGGGTGAAAATAGCCTTCCCCACCCCTCCGGAAGCTGGAAATGGCCCATTTCCCAACTTCTGGTGGGCCTGCAATGTCCGAAAATCAGCTGGCTGGCACGAGGCATGTGCGCTGGAGCTGAGCTACGGTAATGCTCGTGTGCCCACAGATATGGCCCCACATGCCTTCCTGTGGCATGCGTGCCATAGGTTCGCCATCACGGGCCTTGAGATTAAAACAGTGGTGAAATCCAAATTTTTTTACTATCAGTTCTGCGAGCGTGGCTTGGTGGGCATGGCAGGGGAAGGATACTGCAAAATCTCCATTCCCACCCCACTCTAGGGGAAGGATACTGTGAAATCTCCATTCCCACCCCACTTTGGGGCCAGCCAGAGGTGATATTTGCCGGTTCTCCAAACTACTCAAAATTTCCACTACCAGTTCTCCAGAACCTGTCAGAACCTGCTGGATTTCACCCCTGGACTAAAACATATGAAGAACAGTTGCAGGAATTGGGTATGACTAGTCTAGAGAAGAGAAGGACTAGGGGTGACATGATAGCAGTCTTCCAATATTTGAGGGGCTGCTACAAAGAAGAGGGAGGGCCAACATTTTCCAAAGCACCAGAGGGCAGGACAAGAAACAATGGATGGAAACTAATCCAGGAGAGAAGCAACCTGGAATTAAGGAGAAACTTCATAACAGGGAGGACAATTAACTAGTGGAACTGCTTGCCTTCAGAAGTTGTGGTTGCTCCATCACTGGAGGTTTTTAAGAAGAGACTGGACAGCCACTTGTCTGAAATGGTTTAGGGTCTCTTGCTTGAGCAGGGGGTTGGACTAGAAGACCTCCAAGATCCCTTCCAGCTCTATTCCTGATTGATCATAATTATGTTGTTCTGAGTAACACTACAAGTTGACACGTCTGACTAGTGCTTGACCTCAAACTTTTAGTACTATGGCAGGGGTGAGCAAATGTGGCCCTTTTACAACCTGTGGACTTCAACTCCCAGAATTCCTGAGACAGCCAAGGAATTCTGGGAGTTGAAGTCCACAGGTTGTAAAAGGGCCACATTTGCCCTCCCCTGTACTATGGGGATGGGCAGTGTCTGTGCAGGAAAGAAACATGAGCAGAAACAGAAGTTTTAAACATCTTTTGAGACCTGCTGGTCATCTCCCTGTTCATAATTATCTTGAGTGCAAAATTCATTAAGGAAAAACCCGAGCTTATTCTATCCTGATAGAAAACAGCATATTGCTTCCTTTTCTCATAACATTTTAAAGAATAGAAACTGGTCAGCTCTGAGCTCTACAGTGGTGGCCAAAATTGTGGAAACCTTTTGGGAAAAGTGTATTTTCTAAAACTAGCTAATAACACTACTTTTTATTTTTTGGAGTAGTACCCTAAAATTATATATCAATGGAAAGATAATTGAACCAAGAATGCAATGCAATGACTTTTATGAAGGATTTGCTCTTAGAATAGCAGTTACAGTATAAAGAAGAAAAGTGAAACATGTAGAAAAAAACGAGATATACAAAAATGATCACCACGTCAGTTAATACTTAGTTGAGTAACCTTTAGCATGAATGACGGCCTTACAACGTCTTCCCATGGAATGAACCAAAGTCTTTTAGTTCTGCGGCTGTTATCAGGTGGAACCAAGATTGAATGATGGCTTCTATTAACTGGGTTTTATTGCTGGGTCGCTTCTGACTAACAAGTTTCTTTAGTCGGCTCCATAGATTTTCAATTGGGTTAAGGTCTGGGCTATTCCCAAGCCATTCCAGCAGTGGAATAGGATTATCTTGAAACTCCCCCCCAAAAAGTGGTGTTGTTAGCCATCAGACCTCAAAAATACACTTTTCCCAAAAGGTTTCCACAATTTTGGCCACTAGTATAGTTCTGCCTTAAGCATGAAAGCCAGCTCAGTAACTTTAGTGTAGTGAAAAGAGGAGGAAGGGATATTAGGTATCTTTGCCACCTTGAGTTATTTGCACGTAGTCCTTGACCTATAGCTATTCATTTAGCGGCCATTTGAAGTTACAATGACACTGAGAAAAGTGACTTACAACTAGTCCTTGCACTTATAACTGTTGTAGCGTCTCCAGGGTAAGCAAAATTCAGGCACTTAGCAACTGGTATGTAATTGTGAAGTTTGCAGCATTCTGGGGTCAACCTTCTTAGCTGGCTTTCAACAAAGCGAAGTCAATGGAGGAAGCTGGATTCACTCAATGGCTGTATGAGTCGCTCAAGAAGTGCAGTGATTTGAGTAACAGGTGTGGCTCTAAAGTCATAAAATTGGGTGCAACTGATTTAACATTGCCTAACAATGGAAATTCTGACCCCCAATTGTGGTCATAGGTTAAGGGCTATCTTTATAAAAAGAATAATAAAGGCAGGATAATTAATTAATTAGCAATACTGATAACGCTTAGTCTTATATATTACTTCATAGTACTTACAGCACTCTTTCAGTGGTTTACAGAGTCAGTATATTGCCCCCAAGAATATGGGTCCTCATTTTACCGACCTTAGAAGGATGGAAGGCCGAGTCAACCTTGAGCCTGTCAGGGTTGAACTCTTGGCAGTGGGCAAAGTTAGCCTGCAATACTGCATTCTAACCACTGTGCCACCATGGCAATAGAATATGGAGTGGAGTGGAGTGGAGTGGAGTGGAGTGGAATGGAATGGAATGGAATAGAATAGAACAGAACAGAACAGAACAGAACAGAACAGAACAGAATAGAATAGAATAGAAAGCACTTAGACTTATATACCATTTCACAGTGCTTTACAGCCCTCTCTAAGCAGTTTATAGAATCAGCCTTTTGCCCCCAACAATCTGGCTCCTCCTTTTACCAACCTCAAAAGGATGGAAGGCTGAGTCAACCTTGAGCCAGTCAGGATCGAACAGCTGGCAGCTGGCAGAATTAGCATGCAATACTACATTCTAACCACTGTACAGGAAGGAAGGAAGGAATAGCAATAGTATTTAGACTTATATACCGCTTCATAGTGCTTTACAGCCCTGTCTAAGCGGTTTACAGTGTCGAGCCTATTGCCCCCAACAATCTGGGTGCCCATTTTACCCACCTCAGAAGGAGGGAAGGCCGAGTCAACCTTGAGCCTGGTAAGAATCGAACTGCCAAACTGCTGGCAGCCGGTGGTCAGCAGAAGTAGCCTGCAGTACTGCACTCTAACCCCTGCGCCACCGCGGCTCATTGCATGCCTTCCCTCCCCCGCACCCTCAACCTACCAGGGTGGAACATCTTACATGGAAATAGATGACGACTTCTTTTCAGAGCCATTGCGGACAAAAAGGTTTGAGGAGTTTGAAGCACAATTTGGGATGACGTAGGATGATTAAAGCTAAGTGAGCTGGGTACACTTTTGGAAAAGAGATGGAATTTTAACGGAGGACTGAAATGGAGCCTTTATTGAAGAGAAGCCCAGTGTGCTTTTAAAATGTTCCTAAGTGCATTCTTGTTTGCAAATAAAAGCAAGATTTTAAAAACCAGAGTCCAAGGTGAAGCAGTCGAGAAAGATTCTCGTATGTTTTATATAGTCATATCGCTAAATTTCGCGGTGTTTTATCAGGGTTTTTCGTTTTGCAAATCCAATAATGTGCCTTTATTTCCATACTTAGGCTCATCCAACACTTGGTTAAAACAAAAACCTTGTAATCAACTGGTGTGAAACTTTAATGGGGTCATTTTGTTTGAAGGTACTTTGATTGAATACCTTCAGTGCAGATTCTAAAAGCAATAGCAATAGCACTTAGACTTGTATACCGCTTCACAGTGCTTTACAGCCCTCTCTAAGTGATTTACAATAGGTCAGCCTATTGCCCCCAACAATCTGTGTCCTCATTTTATCGACACTGGAAGGATGGAAGGCTTCAACATGGAAGGAGTCAACATGGAATGGAATGGAAGGGAGGGGAGGGGAGAGGAGAGGAGAGGAGAGGAGAGGAGAGGAGAGGAGAGGAGAGGAGAGGCTTGGCCAAGTATGATTAGACACACAAGGAAGGAGAGGGGAGAGGAGAGGAGAGGAGAGGAGAAGGGAGAGGAGAGGAGAAGGGAGAGGAGAGGAGAGGAGAGGATTGGCCAAGTATGATTAGACACAACAAGGAATGGAAGGGAAGGGAAGGGGAGGGGAGGGAGGGGAGAGGAGAGGAGGGGAGATGTATAATCATAAAGTACCAATAGGAAAAGGTAGTAGAAAAGATGAGAAGGATAATAGTAATACAGCCATACTACATGGGTAAATATCCTTAGACATAACAGAATGCTGTGGGAAATAGGTCTTTAGCAGAGTGATGGCATAAGGGGAAAAAACTGTCCTCGTGTTTAGATGTTTTGGCATACAATGCCCTATAGCACCATCCTGAGGGGAGGAGTTGAAACCCAGGATGTGAGGATTCTTCCAGAGATTGTTTTACTATAAAATAAGGGTCTCCAAACACGGCAACTTTAAGACATCTGGACTTCAACTTCCAGAATTCCTCAGCCAGCCAGAGTTGCCAAGTTTAGAAAATCCTGCTACAAAATATTCCCAAAGTTGAGTCAACCTTGAGCCACTCAGGATTGAACTCCTGGAGTGAGCAGTGTGTTAGCCTGTTGTTTTTGCATAAAATAGTCACGCCTCTATCCTGCACTTTCGGTGGTCTTGGGAACAAGCCACCCATTATGATACCGCTAGGTAAGACCGAATATCACCTCCAACCAGTGGTGGGTTGCCCCCGGTTCGCTGGTTTGATTGAAATGTTCACAGAATGCTGGAACAAGAAATGCATCTGGTTGTTTGTTTGCTGGTTTGTAAGTCTTAAAAAAAAAAGGGTTAGTAATTTGGAGAAAACACGACTGTTTTCCAAACTACAATACAGCAATAAGAAGCCATATGGATCTGAAATGTAACTATCTTGAATGCTGTTACTTCTGATAACCTCTCTTATAACCTTTTATTGTCTAGGCCACTTTTTAAAAAAGGAAATAAATACATTTTTTTTCTTCTTTTTCTTCTCTTTCCTCTCTCCTTGCAGGAGTCTGAAAAAAAGGGCTTAATAGAAAGAATTCACATGGTCCAAGACATTGTTATAACAGTCCAAACACTTCTGGAGGAAATAGCATCTTTTGCAGAAAGGATAAAAAAGTAAGTTTTGTTCCCATGCTCTGAAAAACCTCTGAACACCATGGCTGGAAACAATTGAAAAAAAGAAAAGCTTTTAACTGGAAATTTCTAAAAGCCAATGCAGAATGGAATAAAGGTTGTTTCCTTCACCTGAATGTCAACTCAGTGGTGATAATCTATCATTATAGAATTCTTCTTTCTGAATTTCTTACACATTTAATTATGACTGGAAATTTATGGAGAACCAGAAACCGGGAATTCTAGTTCCATGTTAAGTATGGAGCCAGCTTGATATCCTTGGGACAGTCATTTTCTCCCAGTCCTAGGAAGGAAGGAAGGAAGGAAGGAAGGAAGGAAGGAAGGAAGGAAGGAAGGGGGGAGGGAGGGAGGGAAAGGAAAAGGAAAGGAAAGGAAAGGAAAGGAAAGGAAAGGAAAGGAAAGGGAGGGAAGGAAGGAAAAGTGGGAGGGAAGGAAGGAAAGGAGGGAGGAAGGGAGGAAGGGAGGGAGGAAGGAAGGAAATCTATGGGAATTCTGAACTCTGCATTAAAAATCCACGATTTATACAAGTGAATTTCTCTTCATCGAACAAAAAGTCATGTTTCTCCATGTGTCAAATGGAACAATGCTGATCTTTTCAGAGCAAGGTTGCCACATCACACATGCTTAACCTGTACAATTCATTCCCACAATTTAATTTTAATGGCTTTAGGAGATGATTTCAAAACAATCTGGATCAACAGAGACATTAGATCTTCTGCTGGGTTGGAGATTCCAGTTCTCATTTGTCCAAATGATCTCCTTTCTCAGTTCACCCCTTTATCGGTGTGCCTAAGATTTCTTGGCTGTATGGTGCTGAAAAAATAGACACAACTTCTAAAAGCTTCTAAGGAATTAAAAATTCCAGCCACTTATCATTTGTAATCAAATCAGTCAGTCCTAAAGGAAATCAACTGTGAGTGCTTTTTAGAAGGACAGATCCTGAAGCTGAAGCTCAGATACTTTGGCCACCTAATGAGAAGAGAGGACTCATTGGAGAAGATCTCAATGTTGGGAAAGATGGAAGGCAGAAGAAGAAGGGGACAGCAGAGGATGAGATGGTTAGATAATGTCATCAACACAATAAACATGAATTTGGGCAAACTGCAGGACACAATGGAGGACAGGAGGACTTGGTGTGCTACGGCCCATGGGGTCACGAAGAGTCGGTCATGACTTAACAACTGAACAACAAAAATCATGAATTCCATTTAAATTTGCCACCAAATTTGCTTTTAATTGATTGTAGTTATATCCCACTTTTTACATCGATCACCAAGCAGTTTGCTATTCCTACATTGGATAGTTCTACCCTTGCTACAAGGGACACAGTGGCTCATTGGCTAAGATGCTGAGCTTGTTGATCGAAAGGTCGGCAGTTCAGCGGTTCGAATCCCTAGTGCGGCGTAACGGAGTGAGCTCCTGTTACTTGTCCCAACTTCTGCCAAACTAGCAGTTCGAAAGCATGTAAAAAATGCAAGTAGAAAAAATAGGGACCATCTTTGGTGGAAAGGGAACAGTGTTCTGTGTGCCTTTGGCTTTTAGTCATGCTGGCGACATAACCACGGAGATGTCTTTGTACAGCGCTGGCTCTTCGGCTTTGAAACGGAGATGAGCACTGCCCCCTAAAGTCGGGAATGACTAGCATATATGTGCGAGGGGAACCTTTACTTTTACCTTTACCTTTGCTTAGTTTCATCTGAAAATTTCAGGCGCTTTTCTGGGGCCACAGCCAGTGGAGAATAGACCCCACCAAACAAAGAGGACAGAGGTTTTCTGGCATAACTGTGTGACCCTGTTTTCTTCTCCCTCTTCCAAACCCTCCCATGGAGCTCACAAATGGAGCCTTGTCCACAGTTCCCCTCTTTCAAAGTGCAGCCGCGTGGGGGTCTAAAAATACTAGAAACCCACGGGTTGTGATTGTGCCACATCTGTCCCAGCTGGCCGGGAAGACGTAAGAATGGCTTTTAGAGTCTGAACGGAGCACTGTTCTACGTGCAGCTGGATGGCAATGGGATTGTGAACGTTGGGTGACTTCCTTCTGGCATTCAGCTCTGCGACAATGATCCCTTAAGATCCCAGCGGGACATGAATATAGTTGCCCTGCCTAATCGCTCAAGAATCCCAATTGTGTCTCAATTGTAATGTTGTACTGTGGACGAAGAAGGAGGAGGGGAAGTCCGCTGGAGTAGTTTGAACAAGTGTCACAATGGTTTACACAAGCATTTCCATCGGCATAACCCTTGGTATCAAAGAACCTTTTTAATAGCTTGCTTCTATCGGATTCCGGGGGATTTAAAAATACATTTCATATATTAATTGGCCTGAGTTCACCCTCACTCTAATTTAAATGGGAAGGTCTCCGTTGAAGCTGAGAGATGCATTATTTCCTCTAGTCATTAAATTTAAAAAAAAAAACAAGAACAACCCTCATCAATTAAGAGAAAGCATTGTTCATGATCCAACGGAGTTATTTCTTAGTGTCTTGTAAAAGGGCAGAAAGATGGAGCTGACCTACTTTTGATCAAGAGCCATGGGGTGTCTGCTTGACCCCCCCCCGAAGACTGAGGTTCAGAATTCACACAGCCACTCTGGGGAGCAAAGCATTTCATAATATGTAGAGATGGGTGAAGAACTGGAAGCAGAGATACTCAACTCTTTGACCATGTGTTTGACTTGATATGAGTCAAACACATGGTCAAAGCAGAATTGATATGATCTCTTTTGATCTCATTTGCATCCTTTAAATATGAAGATAGTTGGAAGCTATGTTTCCATGGATTTCCACTAGGTTTTTTTTTTCTTTCTATTTAAAAAGGCTGACCTTGGAGGGGAAGAAAACAAAGCCTTCTATCTCCCTCATGCCCGGTTAACCATCAAAATCGCTCTACATGGAAGCCAAGTGAGAAGATTTCTCACTGTTGGGCAAGAAGCATGATGGTGCCATTGGACCCCCAATGACCTGCGACAATGTCTATGAAGATTCTCAATCATCCAGGTCATGGTTGTCCCAAAGGTGCTTTTCCAAAAGACAACTGGATTTTCCTTGGGTTTTTTTTTTCCTCCTTGAAAACGTTTCGCTTCTCATCCAACAAGCTTCTTCAGTTCAGTAGCAAAAAGTAATCCACGAAGCAAGAGTTAGCCAAGGTCCAATCCAAATATACACAAGCCAGATTTCAGGTAACGCGATGTGACTCTCAGGTTTTTAACTTTGACCGTCACAAAGCCTGAAGAGCAATCACACCCACGTTTATTCCTTGTGGGGTGTGGCTCAGTGACTCAGCTCAATCTCTGGCCCTCCCACGCCTCTTTTGTTGCTGCGCACGCTTCTCCCTCCGACGCTGCCTGGGATCAAACCAGGATTCATCATCCTCGCTCCCTATCTGTTGTTGTTCTGATATGCTTTCCTACTGGCATATCCCAGGCTGTTCCTCTTGGCCTTCGGATGGAACCTGAGGCATTGCCAGAGAGGAGGGTCCTGGAGAGGGAGGCCTTGTCAGTTCCTCCCCATCACCTTCTGAGTCCTCTTCCTCTGTTAGGACAGGTCACAACAGCGTGCATTTCAAGTACTTGAAAGCACTAACGATTTCTCTGGTATCTTTTTTCCAGGTTGGTTTCAGTAGGTCCTTTCCTCTCTGCCCTGGCATGCTTAGTGTAGATTTCAAACCTGAACTGTATTTATTAGGGATGATATCAGAAAAAAAAATTGATAAGAGAAATATGTATTGAATATTACATATTACACATGTCTTAACAGCAGCGAGGATGATCTTTGCACAACAGCGGAAAAATAAAGACACACCGCAAGACGAAGAGATCATTAAGATAGTTTGATAGTGCAGAAATGGATAGACTTACATTGAAAATCAAACCAAAAGAAGACACAGAATGTTCTCAAACAAAAAATTGGAAATTATTTTACCAATGGTTGGAAAAAAAGGGGTGGAGAGTAAGAATAGAATCTATATTGTTAAGCAATTTAGAATGGAATGGAATGGAATGGAATGGAATGGAATGGAATAGAATAGAATAGAATAGAATAGAATAGAATAGAATAGAATAGAATAGAATAGAATAATGGAATGAAGAATAGAAAATAGAATAGAATAGAATAGAATAGAATAGAATAGAATAGAATAGAATAGAATAGAATAGAATAGAATAGAACAGAGAATGGGGAAGGGAAGGGAAGGGAAGGGTAGAGAAGAGAAGAGAAGAGAAGAGAAGAGAAGAGAAGAGAAGAGAAGAGAAGATATAGAACAGAACAGAACAGAACAGAACAGAACAGAATAGAATAGAATAGAATAGAATTCTTTATTGGCCAAGTGTGACACAAGTAATTTGTCTTATACCCAGACCACACTGTTTATTAAGCACTAAAAATGTAATAAATAGAAAATTATTTTAAAATGTATTTTTCCATGTTGGTTACAGTACATTCAACTGGACTGTTCCTTTCCTCTCTGCGCTGGCTTGCTTGGTGCTCACAATAGCGATGATTGTGCTGTATTACATACCGTTACGGTACATCGTTTTAATATGGGGTAAGTCTATTCCTTGTGCCATTTCCTTCGACCGATTCTACTGTATGCATTTCTATAACAGTCTGGAGACATACCAATAGTCCTTGACTTACAGTAGTGGCCAAAATTGTGGAAACCTTTTGGGGAAAGTGTATTTTTGAGGTTTGATGGCTAATAACACTACTTTTTTGGGGAAGTTTCAAGATACTCCTATTCCACTGCCGGAATGGCCTGGGAATAGCCCAGACCTTAACCCAATTGAAAATCTATGGAGCCGACTAAAGAAACTTGTTAATCAGAAGTGACCCAGCAATAAAACCCAGTTAATAGAAGCAAACCTTCAATCTTGGTTTCACATTAGAATAGCTGCAGAACTAAAAGATTTGGTTCCTCCCCAGCCTCCTCACTGTCTGACTCTGCTGCCAGTTCTGCAGGCTGCCGGCAGACCACAAGTGATAGACTGGCTGAGTGTGTAGGTTTTCCTGACTCTTGAATTACTTTTGAGAGAGGATCCTGCTACTCTCAAGAAAGAGGCATCCGGTGAATCATCTCCTCTTCCCAAATATAAAATGCAGAAGTCTTAAGAGGGACATTTCATAGGAGATAGATAGATAGATAGATGACAGACAGACAGACAGACAGACAGACAGACAGACAGATAGAGATAAGTAGGTAGGTAGGTAGGTAGGTAGGTAGGTAGGTAGGTAGATAGATAGATAGGTAGGTAGGTAGGTAGGTAGGTAGGTAGGTAGGTAGGTAGATAGATAGATAGATAGATAGATAGATAGATAGATAGATAGATAGATAGATAGATAGATAGATACAGTAGTCTTAAGAGGGACACTTTCGTAGGAGGTACATCTTCAGAGTCGCCAGATCTTGTTCGGACAGATTCTCAGGCCCGTCAGAAATGTGCTAGCCATCTTGGCGGTGGCAGCTCTCACTTCCCTTGCCCCTTCTTTGTGCGAACAATGGGATTTTTTCATTCCTGAGGCGAACGGCTGGCTGACTTTTGTAATAAACCTCCCACTGGTTTCTTCAAGGGAAGAAATGTTTGTGCACGATTCCACGTGAGAGCGACATGTGTCCAGCTTCTCTGTGTTTTCACACTCATTCTTCTCCCTTGTAAAACTCGTTCAGCCACCCGCCCACCTTCCTGTCTGAGCATGTCAGGCAGCTCCATGCTGTGGAGTGTGTGTGTGTGTGTGTGTGTGTGTGTGTGTGTGTGCGTGCGTGTGTGTGTGTTTTCCTGCTCCCCTTCCCTGCCCAGCTTTTTTTAAAAACCCCTTTTCCCTTCTGTCTTTTCCAGGCATACATAAATTTACCAAGAAGCTAAGGAATCCTTATGCCATTGACAATAATGAGTTGTTGGACTTCCTCTCCAGGGTCCCATCTGATGTTCAGAGGGTAAGTATGAGGATGGGGTCTCCAGCAGAGAGAAGTGGAGCTGAGGCCAAAGAGCAGCAGGTGTGATGCTGGGGTGCCGTTTTTGGCTAGCAGTGCACAAGCATCGGGACAGGATCATTAACCAGGAGGGGGTGAGAAGAGCGAGGGCAGGCACAGGAACCAAAAAAAAAAAAAAAGCCCCCCGGAATCGCGAAACAAGGGTTCTCTTTTTTTCAAAAGCCCGGGGGTGGGGGTGGGGGTACGGAAAAGGGCTGGCCCGGATTTGTATTTTTACGAGAACTTATAGGAATTTAGCCCCCCCTTTTTTTAAAAAAATAAAATAAGCAAAGCACAATAACTCTTTAAAAAAAAATGTGTAAAGTAACCTTGAGAAAATTTGCCCAATTTTACATTCCAGCAAAGATTGTTCAGATTTTAATATGTTTCCTTCTGTGTCAGTCAGTTAGCATTTATTAGGGGTTATGGAGAGAGGGAAGAGAGAGAGAGAGAGAGAGAAAGGGAGGGACGGCAAGAGAAAGGGAGAGGAAGGGCGAGAGAAAGAGAAAGGGAAGGAGAGGAAAGGAGAGAGAGAAAGGGAGGGAGTAAGGGAGAGAGAAAGGGAGGGAGTAAGGGAGAGAGAGAAAAAGGGAGTAAGGGAGAGAGAAAGAAAGGGAGGGAGGGAAAGAGAGGAAAGGGGAGAGGGAGAGAGAGAAAGGGAAGGAGAGGAAAAGAGAGGGGGGAGAGAGAGAGAGAGAGAGAGATTAACCATTAACTATTCTTTCTCTCTCCCTCCCTCTCTCTCTCTCTCTCTCTCTCCCTCCCTCCCTCCCTCCCTCTCTGAATTTCTATGTATTTTGGGTTCGCATGGCTCCTTCTTTGCATCACTTGTATCTTTTCTTTTTAACTTTCATGCTGCTTCTTCAATCAATCACTTTTGACCAGAAATGTCCAATTCCCAGACTGCAAAATCACGAAACTTAAATGAATGGTCACTTTAAAAAAAAAAGAATTAAAAAAATATATCTTGCATTGGATCCTCTCTTTAATTATTGTATCATGTGTTGTGATCTTTCGATCGGAGTGAAGGTGTTTGATAAAGACTTGGGATTTTGAGTTGCATCTAGAACAAGCTCCCTTTCCTGTGAAATACAGGGAGGTGGAAGAAGGGAAATGGGTGAAAAATAGCCAGGGAAGTGAAAAGGCATTTGAAAAGTGAGTGCCAGCAGCTCAAGTCATTAGTAGGTTTCACAGAAGGACTCAGCAAGACACACTGCATTCTATGAATGTTGTTTATGCTTAATAATCCTATTGCAAATGGAATAAAATAAAATAGACGAGCTTTGCTTGGCACTGTTGGTTTTGAAAGCAATGGGGTCACAGAGGACAAAATTGATTTTCAGTTTGAATAAATTCGAACTGTCCAAGTACGCCTGTCAAAGAAGTAGCAGTGTCTAGCGACTCTTTAAAGGTGAGAAATTTTGTGGTGGCCTGCATATACCAGAAACTACTTCATCAGATACGTAAAGATGAACGTATTAGTTTGGGTCAAATAGATTTAAACTGTCATGGAAGATATAACAGAACATGATTGATTTCGACTCTAAGTCAGTTGATTGAAGGGGAAAAAAAGAGCTTAAATCACAGGGTTTTTTCCTTTGGGTGCCTAGTGTCTGATTTACAAACCTAGGCACCTTGACATCTTCCCAAACTTCAAGAAACAGTGTCTAGCAAGATGTCTATGGAGATTCTGAGTCACCCAGGCCAAAGTTGTTTCAGCAGGCACCTTTTTCTTCAAAAGGCAAATGGACTGTTTTTTCCTTGAGGAGGAAAAAGAAGTTTCACTTCTCATCCAAGAAGCTTCATCAGTTCTGATAAGCTTCACTTCTCATCCCTCCACCACCAGAACAGATGAAGCTTCTTGGGTGAGAAATGTAACTACTACTACTACTACTACTACTTCTACTACTACTACTTCTTCTTCTTCTTCTTCTTCTTCTTCTTCTTCTTCTTCTTCTTCTTCTTCTTCTTCTTCTTCTTCTTCTTCTTCTTCTTCTTCTTCCTCTCCTCCTCCTCCTCCTCCTCCTCCTCCTCCTCCTCCTCCTCCCTCCTCCTCCTCCCTCCTCTCCTCCTCCTCTTCTTCTTCTTCTTCTTCTTCTTCTTCTTCTTCTTCTTCTTCTTCTTCTTCTTCCTCCTCCTCCTCCTCCTCCTCTTCTTCTTCTTTTTCTTCTTCTTCTTCTTCCTCCTCCTCCCTCTCCCTCCTCCTCCCTCCTCCTCCTCTTCTTCTCCTTCTCCTTCTTCCTCCTCTTCTTCTCCCTCTCCCTCCTCCTCCTCTGCCTCTTCTTTTTCTTTTTCTTTTTCTTCTTCCTCTTCCTCCTCCTCCTCCTTCTCCTCCTCCTCCTCCTTCCTCTCCGTCTCCCTCCTCCTCCTTGAAAAATCAGTCCAGTTGCCTTTTAAAGAAAAAAGGACCTTTGAGTGTCTAGCAGGGAAATCTCGTTCCTTTAAATCCAACCTTCAGAAAGAGAACTCCAACAAGAAGAAAGAAAAGATGTTTTCTGCAAAATGCCCCAATCAAGTGAAAAGCTTTTTTTTTTAATTCCCCACCCCAAATTCAGACGCATTTCATTAGGACCAGAGGGGGAGGAAAAAAAAATCTGTTTTTAATATTTTGGTGTTCTAGAAATGATCCGTGACTCTTCCAATCCTTCCTGCAATTAATCCCCCATGTTCCTGTGTTTAGAAAATGATTCACGGCGATTGAAGCTTCCTTAGTTTTTCTTTCATTCCTCTCTGGGGAGCCATTAACGCACGGAGGAGCGAGTTGGGCTTACCTTTCTCCAACGTGGCGTCTGTTTGTTTTTACAGGTGCAACAGGCTGAATTGAAACCATACAGCAGTTCCAGTCCCATTAGGAAGAAAAGGAGCGCCTAGTAGGATACGATCCTTGGAATGCAAGGTGCCCCTTCCGGGAACGCTGCATACATGGGCTGCCTCTCCGTGCACTGCCCCCCACCACCTCTCCCCCTCCGCCTTGCAGATCCGATCAGTGCTGCCTTCGTTCCATCCAGGCTTGTCTGGAAGTCATATTTGGACTTCAAACACACACACACACAAAGCAATCAAAGTCATTTGTAGGAAGCTTGACCTGCCTGGTTTGTCCCTGGAAGACCAAGGGGAAAAAAAGGACTGTTCATATCCAGCATGGCGTTTGAGCGGAGATCGAAGAACCAAAGCCAGATGACATCTTTTCTTTCTTTCTTTCTTTCTTTCTTTCTTTCTTTCTTTCTTTCTTTCTTTCTTTCTTTCTTTCTTTCTTTCTTTCCCCTACGATGGAAAAGCTGTTTTTAAACTCCCCATTTTTTTTATCTGCTGGTTTGTCCCTGACATAAACTGTTAAAAAAAAACTACGAAAGCCAGATGGACGCTCATCCATGGGTTGCAGAGTCAAAACCCAGGATGATTTTGTCTTGTTTTGTAAAATAGAAAAGTGCCTCTTTTTTAAAACAAACAAACAAACAAACAAAACGAAACTGTTTTTGTTTTGCGTACCAGTTGAACGCTGGAAGAAGAAAAAGAACTCAAACTTTTCATAGCTTGACTGGAATTTCTTAGCGTGGAACCTGGAGTCAAAAATCATATGTAAGACTTTATTATTTTTTTTCTATCATGGGAAGGACTTCTTTCCCTCCACCATTCTTAAGAGCAATGCCAATTTGCTCTTAAAAAGTGGGAAATGCTTTGAAGGTGAGAAGTGATATATATATTTGGCATTCTGGGCTTTTTTCCACGGAAGAGAAACACATCAAGATATAAATGGTTTCATTGCTTGGACAATGACTGTACATAGATGATTCTGAACTGCAGATTAATAGATCTTTGAAACCCGTTTTCTGTTTTAAAGCACTGCTCAGTTTAAAAATTCTCAGAACTGCAGAGGAATGATCAACATCTCTTTCCTCCTTCCCCTTCCTTCCTTCCTTCCTCCCTCCCTCCCTCCCTCCCTTCCTTCTCTCCCTTCCTTCTCCCTTCTCTCTCTTCTTCCATCCCTCCTTCCTTCCACCCTTCTCTCCTCCCTCCCTCCCTTCTCTCCCTCCCTCCCTCCCATCTCTCCTCCCTTCCTTCCCTCTCTTCTTCCATCCCTCCTTCCTTCCTTCCTTCTCTCTCTCCCTCCCTTCCCTCCTTCCTTCCTTCCCTCCCTCCTTCCTTCCCTCCCTCCCTCCTTCCTTATTTCCTCCCTCCCTCCCTTCCTTCCCTCCCTCCGTCCCCCACAGTTTTGGCCAGAGTGATTGTATTTAGAAGGAGACTATTGCTGGCAATAGACTTCCTTCAAGCCATCATTTAACTATATTGGTGTCATTGGAATCTCCCACATATCTCTGCTGTTGCTCAGTTTTGATTTCCTTTTAGAGCTCCATCTTTTTGGAGTCTTTGTCTTCTCATCCTCAATGCAGGTCATAATCCAATAATACATTGATCATGCATATATAAAATACTTTTATAACTATATAGACAGGTGAAAAGCACACGGCAAAAAATGGAATGGCTTTGTCTTTATGTATTTTTTTAAAAGAAGCTGTTGTATTTAAATTGTGCAATACAAGTTGAGTTTGCTGTATTGTTTACATGGATTTAGAGCAAACACAGTGGTCTGCCTTGTGCCATTTAAGGCAAATGTCTAAAAAGCTAGCATATTTAGAAGGGACAAAGATACTGGTTGTTGAATCCACTCCTTTCAGTCTCAGGCCCTTCTAACTAATGTTTAGGTGTTATTACTATAAATGATGTTAGAGAACATTCTTGAAATGTTGGAGAAGACACTTGAGAGTCCGTTTGACTGCAAGAAGACCAAATACTTTGGCCACCAAATGAACTCCTTGGAGAAGACCCTAATGTTGGGAAAGATGGAAGGCAAAAGGAGAAGGGGACTGCAGAGGAGGAGATGGTTAGATGGTGTCATTGATGCAGCGGTAATGAATTTGAGTAAACTCAGGGAGACAGTGGAGGACAAGAGGACCTGGTATGCTATGGTCCATGGGGTCACCAGGCATTGGACATGAGTTTAACAACTGAACAACAAAAATCATGAATTCCATTTAAACTTGGATTTGTAGTAGCACCATATGTCTGTGGAGGTTCTCAGTCATCCAGATCATGGTTCTTCCAAAGGTGCTTTTTTCAAGAGGTAACTGGACTTCCTTTGTTTTTCTTTGAAGATGTTTCTTCTGGGGTCATGAAGAGTCGGACACAACTTAGCGACTGAACAACAACAACAACATTATAAATGAGTGTTGAGTAGTGATTCCCAACCATAGTGTTGACTGACAACTGCCATTATTTCAAGCCTTTGGTCAGGCAGAGTTGCTTATGGCATTAATAAAACAGTTAAAATATTTTTTTTAAAAAAATCTAGAGGTCCAAAGTTGTTGAGCCTTGGATTATGCTGAACCCGGAGTCTTCAGAAGGCTACTGGTATTTTACGCTTGCCTTGTAGAAGAAGGAAAACATTATTTAATGCATTGCTGGAGAAGACTACATTTACTTATTGTTAATTTTACCTAACTCTGAAGATAAATGACATGAGGTCAATCATAATTTTGTCCTGATCTCTTCTCTCTCTTTAGGATTTAGTCATTGCATGCCTCTCAAATGTCATCTACAGCCTGTAGACCATAAAGAAATTGCATCCTGGTCTAAGGCTCCGTTTCCAGATAAACTTCACCTCCAAGGGGATCATTATATTTTTTAAAAAAGTAGCACCAAAGACAGGAAGGCAGGAAAGGAAGTCATTTTGATGTGAGCTTCTAAAGAGCCCTTGGCTGATGAAGTAGAAATCTTTCTTTGAAAGTCTCTGTCGGGAATCAGTGGGTTCCATATCTATCCCATCATTCCTGATGTTGAATCAGATGGATACTATGCTACAAATCGGAATAGAGAAATAGCTATCCTTAGTGAGATCCTTGGGAAAGATTTAGAAGCCAGTTGCTTTTTCATTCTTCTCAGTGCCCCTATTCAGGACCACCGGTTTCTTTTGGGAAAAAGTGGCATGTGATAGCCCTTGACTCAGCACAGAAAATGTCCTTTAGCAAAAGTGTGGAACAGTTGAAGGACCTCAACCCATTAAGAGCAATGCAAAGATCATTTAGATGATTTGGAGTGAGATAATGCAGAGTGACTTTTACTTTTTCCTGATCTGGTAAGTGCAGATTGTTAGACTTCAGCTCACAGATTCTGCAGTCAACATCTCTTACTATTGTCCACGTTGGCCAAGTTGCTGGAGGTCCACATATCATACAATCTCTGCTTTGAGAGATTACCTTTATAGCTGAAATGATGATGGTCCATGACTGTGAAGGCAACAAATCTGAAACACATTACTGGGAATAGATCCACTGGCACGAAACAGTATCCTGAAAGAAGATACCACACGGATCTTACTAGGTGAGATCATTTTCAAAATGAAGACCATGAAAACAGAACTGAGAAAAATCCATTTACCTTTAGGTCAACTGATGCTTTATCAGATGCCTGTTGACCTTCAAGCAAGTTTTCGGATTGACAGGTTGAGGGAGATTTTAATTTTATCAAAACATATTTTAATATGTTTTGATATGCAATAAAGATCAGACTGGAGTAGATGATATTTGAAGGCCTGTATAACTTATGTAAATACATACTTAGAGGATGTAGAGATAGATAGATAGATAGATAGATAGATAGATAGATAGATAGATAGATAGGATAGATAGGCAGACAGACAGACAGACAGACAGATAGATAAGGTGGATGGATGGGTAGGTATAGGATAGGTAGGTAGATAAGGTGGGTGGCTGGGTGGGTAGGTATAGATTAGACAGACAGACAGATAGATAAGGTGGGTGGGCGGGTTGGTGGGTTGGTATAGATTAGACAGACAGACAGATAGATTGATAGATGATAGATGATAGATGAGATAGATGATAGATAGTTAGAAAGATAGATAGAAGATAGATAGATAGATAGATAGATAGATAGATAGATAGATAGATAGACAGACTGGCTGGCTGGCTGGCTGGCTGGCTGGCTGGCTGGCTGGGTAGGTATAGATTAGACAGACAGATAGATAGATAGACGAGATTGATAGATGATTGATAGATAGATGATAGATGACAGACATGTAGATAAGGTGAGTTGGTGGGTTGGTATAGATTAGACAGACAGATAGATTGATAGATAGATGATATAGATGATGATTTATAGATAAATAGATTAGATACGATAGATAAGGTGGATGGGTGGGTAGGTATAGGATAGATAGGTAGGTAAGGTGGGTGGCTGGGTGGGTAGATATAGATTAGATAGATAGATAGGATTGATGATTGATTGATCGATGACAGATGACAGACAGACAGACAGATAGATAGATAAAGGTGGGTGGGTTGGTGGGTTGGTATAGATTAGACAGACAGATAGATTGATAGATAATAGATGATATAGATGATTGATGATTGATAGATGATCGATAGATGAGATAGATAGATGATAGCTAGACAGATAGACAGATAGAACTGACAACTAAACAAACACAACTAAAGATAGAACCAGATAAACAATTGACCTTACCACCCACAAATTTAACACAATAATAGCAAAATATCCCTATGCTGATAATTATAAACACTTGTCAAATCATCTACTCCTACACAGGAAGAATCTCTCTCATTTCAGTTCATTTCTTCCTCCAAGGCTGGTTGATATGACTAGATTCTGATTGCTTTCCTCAATCTTGATTATGGTGTAAATCAAATCTGCAGGGGGATGTTTTTGCAGAGAAGGAAGTGGGCAGCAAGAAGGCCCACCTCCCACCCCCACATCTAATGATTAGCAAATATATAAATAATGACATCTGAAGTGCTAATTTGTCTAAATGGCAGCAAAGTTTAACTCGAAAGTCCTCTGGAAGTGTCCCACTTTAGACATCTCCCAGAAGGATGTCATGGGAGATGCCATCTGAACCACTAGGAGGAGATTCACTTGATATTGCCCGTGTCCCTGATTTTCTCCATGGAAATGTGGAGCCATTCCTCCTTAATATTCTCCACTAAGAAATGTTCTGTATTTACCACGACTTTCTCCAAATAAGAAAGGGAAGTGTTGGGCAAATCAACTTATCCAGGAAGTGTGTATTGTGATACCTTTTGGGGAAATATGATGGGTAAAACCTGGATTTTGCTCATACCTTGGTCTTCTCCAGGGACGCGGTGGCTCAATGGCTAAGACGCTGAGCTTGTTGATCAAAAAGTCGGCAGTTTAGCGGTTTGAATCCCTAGTGAGCTCCCGTGACTTGTCCCAGCTTCTGCCAACCTAGCAGTTCGAAAGGACGTAAAAAATGCAAGTAGAAAAATAGGGACCACCTTTGGTGGGAAGGTAACAGCATTCCGTGCACCTTTGGCATTGAGTCATGCCGGCCACATGACCACGGAGACGTCTTTGGACAGTGCTGGCTCTTCGGCTTTGAAACGGAGATGAGCACCGCCCCCTAGAGTTGGGAACAACTAGCACATATGTGCGAGGGGAACCTTTACCTTTACCTGGTCTTCTCCAATGAATGGACCCAGTCCTAGGGAGAGAAACAGTGGTTATGGGGAAACCCCTTGCTCAACTTCGGTCTTACAAGAAAGAAGGGAGAAAGCACTTACAACTGGTTGCAAATATGTACAATAAGCCAATGGAAGAATTAAGTATTATCTGATGAGTTTGGTTTTTTTTAGTTAGTCACGTTAGGGGTACCTTTCATTCTTGATATACCATTATATTCCAGAAGAATAAGAAACTTAATCTTTGGAAGAAGTTCTTATGAATTGTAGTTTCTGAAGGCAATCTTTTCAAAGATATGACAAGATTTCCAAATGTTGCTGTTTTATCTGTTCTGTTGACACATCTGGACATCAATGTGCACTCAATGGGTGCTTAGATTTTTGCTCTCTTTGTTCTATCATGGCTGGTAATTACAGAGATTGCAGCCCAAGAAATTAGAAGGTACCAGTGAAAACTGGTAGATACTAAGTTGGCTTGAAACTCAACATTAAGAAAACTAAGATCATGGCATTCAGCCCTCTCAATTCCTGGCAAATAGATGGGAAAGAAATGGAGATAGTGACAGTTTTTATTTTCCTGGGCTCTAAAATCACCTCACATTTGTTTAGTCACCGCTCGAAGTTAGAACAGCACTGAAAAAAGTGACTTATGACCATTTTTCACACAACCGTTGCAGCATTTCTGGTCATGTAACCCACTTCGGAGTCTTGGCAACTGGCATGTTGCCATTGTGATGATTGCGTGTCCCGGAGTGATGTGATCACTTTTTGTGACCTTCTGATTAGCAAAGTCAATGGGAAGTCAATTTCGCTTAACAGTCATGTTAGTCACTGATCAATTGCAGTGATTCGCTTAACAAGTGGGTCAAGAAAGGTCGCAAAATAGGGCAAAACTCACTTAAACAACTCTCTTCCTTAGCAGTGGAAATATTGGCCTCAATTGTGATTGTAAGTTGATGACATACGTATACATACATACATATTGTACATAGTCCAACTTTGCAACAGGGAAAAGGTTAGCAATTCACACAGTTCTGTGAGATGATCTTTATACGTATGTAGCCCAGTTTACAGTCCCTTAATTTTGAATAAGGACAGAATGATTAGGAGCATGCATCTATCTGGTCCTTTAAAGGTGAATTTAGAGGAGCAAAGTTCTTGTGTGAACAGGAAGGCATTTGTTTTAAAAGTGGAGTTTTGTGCGTGGTGCCTTGAAAATCAATTTAAAGCTGTATCAGTAGTGACAAGCAGGCAAAGAATCACCGGTGTGCAATCATGAAAGAATTTGTTTTCTGGAAAGAAGAGACTCCTCTTCAGTGCTCAAAAGTGGGAAATGGTAGAAGGTGAGGTTGGGCAAAACCTCTTGTCAGGGCTCCAAGTAACACCCCCAACGAAAGAAAACTCCGAGACTTGGATTTCCTCAAGCTATTATTTTATTAGAGATGTCATATTGGCACATCTGGGAAAACCCGAATCTGAGTTTTCCCCACCCAAATGAAAGTTCAAGCCCCTGCCCAACACCCACAAGTCCATCACATAGTCCAATCAAAACACCGTCCCCAACTGGAGATGCCTCCCAATTCCAGCCTCCCAGGTGCAGGGAAAGATGTCCTTGAACCTCTGTGAAAGGAATGTTATTATGACTACATATCCCTCATGCTCTACACAATCCCGCCTCCCAATTTCCCACAGTAGTAAATGTGGCAGGTCTGAAGGCCCAATACAAAAGATGGCTTCCAGGCCTGATACCTGGACTTGACTTGGAGCTCATTCTTTCGCTGTAGTCTTCTCTCCGCCTTGGATCCATTTTTCATATTAGACTTTCCTTTCCTCGCCTTTCTGGTCATTCTTTCCCTCTTAGCCAGATCTCCTCTCTTTCTGATTTGTTGTACTTTCAGGTTAATAATAACTTTGTGGACAGGACGGGCAACAGCTGCAACAAGCTGTTTTGGTTTGCTCACATGATACTACCCACCCACTCACCCAGGGCAGCCTCAATCTTCCTGGAAAGCAATACCTTTATTGCTCCCCCCACTCATAGGATTCAATTCATTTTCCTGTGTGGTTGAGTTGTGTCATTTTAAACACCCATAGATCCATTTAAACGAAGCTTCCTTTGACCCTTCGATAATCTTTAGGAGGGGGTAGACAGATCCGCTGTTTTGTGCACATGTCAGACCTGGAAGCCATCTTTCTACCTTTGTGTCTTCAGGTTTCAGGCCTGCCAAAAATTCTACTGTGGGAAATTGGGAGGGGGGATTGTATAGAGGGAAGAAGATATGTAGTCAAAATAAAATTCTTTATAGAAAGTCAAGGCCATTGTGCCCTGCAGCTGTGTTGAGAAGAATGAGGAGGTATCTTCTGTTCCGGACGGTACCTGATTGGATGTGTGATGGACATGTGGGTGCTTGGTAGGGACTTGAACTTTTCTTTGGGTGTGGAAAACCCAGAAGCTCTCAGATTCGGGTTTTCCCACATGTGCCAATATGACATCTCTAATAAAAGTTAGCTTTGAGGAACTTCAAGCCTCGGAGTTTGATTTTGTTGGGGATGTTACTTGGAACTGTGACAGCTCAGAGTTTTGAATTTTTTTTTTTTGAAAAAAAATTATTTTAGATTAAAAATAAAAAAAAATAAAAAAAACCCCACAACAACAACAACATAAAAATATCATCCTTACAAACAATTATAGACAGCATCTCAATCAGTTGAAATCATTTCGTGCTTACAGTTCTCCAGATCTCCTCATATAGCAATTATTCTTTACTTAAACTGAAGATAAATATTTAAACATTTCATATATGCTATCTCATCTCCATACTTTTTTGTCAGGATGTTTAAGAACAAATCGGAGAAATGTTGGAAGTATCATCAAACTCCAGAGTTTTGAAATTTTGAAGCGTTCTCTCTTACATTCATGAGCACAGATAAAGAGAAAATTAAATCTTGGGAAACATTTTGCATCTCATCCAAGAAGCTTCTTCAGTTCTTCAGAAGTATTGAAGAAGCTTCTTGGATGAGAAGCAAAACATTTTCAAGGAAAAAAAAAACCCAAGAAAATCCAGTTGCCTTTTAAAAAAGCATCTTTGGGACAACCATGACCTGGATGATGATGGAGAATCTCCCTAAACAAACAGCTCTTTTTTGCTCTCCTACCCAAACTCCCGGGACGCGGTGGCTCAGTGGCTAAAACACTGAGCTTCTTGATCGAAAGGTCGGCAGTTCAGCGGTTCGAATCCCTAGTGCCACGTAACGGGGTAAGCTCCCGTGACTTGTCCCAGCTTCCGCCAACCTAGCAGTTCGAAGGCACATAAAAAATGCAAGTAGAAAAATAGGGACCACCTTTGGTGGGAAGGTAACAGCGTTCCGTGCGCCTTTGGCGTTGAGTCATGCCAGCCACATGACCATAGAGACATCTTCGGACAGTGCTGGCTCTTCGGCTTTGAAACGGAGATGAGCACCGCCCCCTAGAGTCGGGAACGACTAGCACGTATGTGCGAGGGAAACCTTTACCTTACCCAAGCCCACAATCTATCAACCCATCCATTCCTCCTGTTCTATGACCTTTCTCAGAGGGCCAAAAGCTGATCCTAAGGAAAGCAAAGCCCGCACGCAGCAAAAGAAGGCCAAAGAAAGGTAGAATTTCAGCCTTCTCCCATTCCTGGCAATGGATGACTTTACTGAAAGTCAACACTACCGTCTCGCATTTATCATTGCCAGTCTTACTCTGCATATGTTTGGGTATTCGCCATGCATTGTTAACAGTGATTGTCATGTAATTAAATCACTGCTCATCATGAGTGCCTATTTTTATGCTGAGATAAGCAGCAAGAATCCGCAGCACTGTCCCCCAGATCAATAAAGATGTTCCCTGTAGGATTACAAATAGACTGAGGTTGAGCAGGGCACCAGAATTAATTAGGAATTATTTCTCTGTCTCTCTCTCTCTGTCTCTGTCTCTCTCTCTCTCTCTCCTCCTCCTCGTTCCATTTCCAATACATTTTTAATTGTTTATCTATTTCCAAAGGAAAAAAAAGCACCTCTCTTTAATTGTCGGCGGCTATTTTCTTTTTCTTTTTTGCCAATGAAATCCTGGATAATGGGCATTTTCTTGCAGGGCGTAATGGTGATGAGGAAAGATAGGGATCAAATGACATGCGAGAATAGTGAGCACTTGTTTTGGTCTCTTGAAAGTGACAATGTTAGAAATTCGGGTTCCCCAAGCTAATCTTCACACATCCCTCTTTCTATTCCATTTCCTCTGTTCGCTGGCGTTAATCCTGATCACAAGTGGGTTTTGCTCTACTCAACCATTGGAGCTAAATAGGATCTGTGGGTGAAGCAGAAACATCTTCCTGTAGGTTTCCCCCTTCAGTTTCCTCTTCCATTTCGTTCAAGAGAAAGGGAGCATTTCAGTACGAAGGGCTCTGTTCCAGTGGAGAAATCCATTTTTTTTTACTGCCAGTTCTGTGGGCGTGGCTTGGTGGGTGTGGTTTGGTGCGCATGGCAGGAGAAGGATACTGCAAAATCCCCAGTCCCTCCCCACTCCAGGGGAAGGATATTGCAAAATCTTCATTCCCACCTCATTCTGGGGCCAGCCAGAGGTGGTATTTGCCAGTTCTCTGAACTACTCAAAATTTGCACTACCAGTTCTTCAGAACCTGCTGGATTTCAGCCCTGCTCTGTTCCCAGGGGTGGGCTTCAAAAATTTTAGCAAGAAGTTCTCTGCCTGGTTGCTGAGTGGGCATGGCCATGGTGGGTGTGGCCTAGTCAGCCTCCTGCACCATGGTGAGGGGGGGCGTTTTTGCCCTCCCCGGGCTCCGGAGGCTTTCCTCGAACTTCCGGGAAGGCGAAAATGGCCTCCCCAGGCTCCAGAGGCCCTCTGGAGACTGGAAACGGGCCTGTTTCTGACCTTTGCGAACTTCCGATAGGCCCTTTTTTTGCCCTCCCCAAGCCTCCGTGTGTGCCCTGCACTTACCTGCATCCAAAAGGGGCCGCATAGGAACTCCTGGGAGGGGTGGGGCAGGGTGAACAGGGTGGGGCGGGGCCAGGCAGGAGTGGGATTTGGGGGTTCTCCAAATTGCACAGAATCTTAGCTAGAGGTTGTCCCGAACCCCTGCGAATCCTCAGCAGCCCACCCCAGCTCTGTTCCGGTCATGTATTGAATTTTGATTGTAGGGTTAGTTTGCCCATAGGAACCCCCTAACCTTTGATACATCTTTGGAATGGCTTGCCTCCAGAAGTTGTGGGTGCTCCATCACTAGAAATTTTAAAGAAGACAGTCCCACATAGTATAGGGCTGTGATGGTTCGCCTATGGCACGTGTTGTGGCTCCGTTACTGGAGCCTGTGCCATCGTCAGGAGACGACTCCGAGAGTAAAGGGGAGGAGTTGGCAAGGCCTCCCTCTCCAGGACCCTCTTCTCTGGCAATGCCTTCGGTGTCCGCCGAAGGGCAAGAGATAGGGCCGGGGCCAAGCACGTCCACGCAGCCACAGATGGACAGTGATGAGGGTAATGAATCTTGGCTGGACCCATGCCAGCGTTGCAGAAATAAGCGCGCGCAACAGAAGAAAGGGCGTGCCCGAGATTAGGCTGAGTCACTGGACCACACCCCACAGGATATAAAAGGGAGCATGGTGGCCAGTCAAACCTTGTGACGAACAAAGCTGAAAGCTTCCACGCCATTCTGCATTGCCGGACTTTTGCTTTAAGACTTTGCTGGAGTATCTCTGGACTTGATTAGTTCCGTAATTATTGAGCTGCTTTCCTTTGATGTATCAGAAGTGGGGAGAAGTTATCTCTCCTCTTTGTAAATAATAAACTCTTGGCAGGCAGCCACTAGGTTGTTGCCAAGTTCCGTTATCATAAGGAAAAGGATTTTGCCGGCTGGTTTGGTCTTTAACTCCTGAACGTCTGTTGGTGTGTGTGCGTGGGGTTGGGGACAGAACAGCATGTGTGCCACAGGTGGCACACGGAGCCATATCTTTGGGCACACAAGCGTTACCCTAGCAAAGCTCCAGCATGCATGCATGCACTGGCCAGCTGCTTTTCGGGTCCACTGGAAGTTGGGAAATGGGTTGTTTCTGCCTCTGGGGATCCTCCGGAGGGTGGGTGGGGAAGGCTGTTTTTGCCCTCCCCAGGCTCCTAGAAAGCCTCTGGAGCCTGGAGAGAGCGAAAAATGGGCCCACTGTGCCATCACGTGCCAAAAGCGGGAGAAGTGCGGGGGTCGGGCGCACAGGGGGGGGGGGGAGGGCTCATTGGATTATGGGTTTGGGCACGCACATGTGTGTGACCCCCCCGCACTCCCCCTGCTTTTGGCATGCGACGGCAAAAAGGTTAGCCATCACTGGTATAGGGTCTCCAGCTTGAGCAGGGGGTTGGACTAGAAGACCTCCAAGAAGACCTCCAACTCTATTATTGTTAGAAATTCTGTTTAAATATAGCATGTGAAAATCTTTTCTCCTGCAGTCTGAAATACTGTATTCAGTTCTGACCACCATCATTTTCTTCTCTATCCCTGATAAGCTACACTCCATAGGTCTGAACCTCATTCTACATCTTCAAAAAGGCAGGATAAAAATCAATAGCTTCTCTCATTTCATTGCAATGTTTCTCAACCCTGACAGCTTGAAGATGTATGGACTTTGGCTCCCAGAATTCCCTAGCCAGCATTCTGGGAGTTAAAGTCCACACATGTTGAGACCAGGGGTGAGTTCTACTTACCTTTACTACCGGTTCGCAACGGGGTCGTGCCGGCGTGCTCTTCTGCGCATACGCAGAAGCTTCCTGATGACATCAGGGTCAGTGGGCGGAGCCTCCCACCGGTTTTACTACCAGTTCTTGTGAACCGGTCTGAACCAGGGGCAACCCACCACTGGTTGAGACTCTAGAAAGAGTGCAGAGAAGAGCAACAAAGATGATTAGGAGACTGAAGGCTAAAGCATATGAAGAACAGTTGCAGGAATTGGGTATGTCTAGTTTAATGAAAAGGAAGAATTGTAGCAGTGTTGAAATATTTAAGAGGCTGCCACAAAGAAGAGGGAGTCAACCTATTCTCCAAAGCACCCGAAGGCAGAAGAAGCAGCAATGGATGGAAACTAATCAAGGAGAGGAGCATCCTGGAATTAAGGAGAAATTGCATGACAATGAGAACAATTAACCAGTGGAACAGAAGTTGCCTCCAGAAGTTGTGGGTGCTCCAACACTGGAAGTTTTAAAGAAGAGATTGGACAACCATTTGTCTGAAATGGGGTAGGGTCTCCTGCTTGAACAGGTGGTTGGGCTAGAACAGGGGTGTCAAACTGTAGCCCGTGGGGCTGTCCTGGAAAATGTAAGGGGCTGGCCCACATCAACCTGGTCTACCCAATGCAAAAAGGAAACATCGGGGTAGACAGGACCATGACTTCGGTCCTGTCTACCCAGTGCGAAGAGGAAACATGCCAGCAGTTTGGGGAAGGGCATCAAGCTGGCCACGCCCACCCAGTTGGCCACACCCACCCAGCCCCCCCAAGTTCAATCACACACAGCTCTCAATGAAATTGAGTTTGACAACTCTGGGCTAGAAGACCTCAAAGGTCCTTCCCAAATCTGTTATTCTACATCTTTAAGTTGACATGTTGAGAAACGCCACTGCTAGGTTATTCATACATACAATACACTAAGACCTTACCCTAAATTAAAATTTAGTATTCTCCAGCCGTGTTTGGATCACTGTTCCTTTAATTCCTAGTCACCATGTCCACATTCTGGGAATTATAGTTCCACATTCTGGATGGTTTTGACTTCAGTCATAAAACTGGACACAACTAACTTAGGTCCCACTGATTCAGGGGTGAAATCCAGCAGGTTCTGACAGGTTCTGGAGAACCGCTAGCAGAAATTTTGAGTAGTTTGGAGAACCGGTAGCGGAAATTTTGAGTAGTTCGGAGAACCGGCAAATACCACGTCTGGATGGCCCCAGAGTGGGGAGGGAATGGAGATTTGAAATATCCTTCCCCCAGGAGTGGGGAGGGAATGGGGATTTTGCAGTATCCTTCCCCTGGAGTGGGATGGGAATGGGGATTTTGCAATATCCTTTCCCCAGGAGTGGGGAGGGAATGGAGATTTGCAATATCCTTCCCCCAGGAGTGGGGAGGGAATGGGGATTTTGCAGCATCCTTCCCCTGGAGTGGGGAGGGAATGGGAATATTGCAGTATCCTTCCCCTGGAATGGGGTGGGAATGGGGATTTTGCAGTATCCTTCCCCTGCCACGCCCACCAAGCCACACCATGCCCACCAAGCCACGCCCACAGAACCGGCAGTAAAAAAAAATGGATTTCACCACTGCACTGATTTGAACGGGAAATCAATTGAATTGGAAAGTCAATTGAACTCTGGATTTGTTCTTACCTTGGTTTAGCTGGAATAGGTGTAGGAAAGTCATCGCGAGGCCAAATGTTTGCTTTGTAAGGAATGAAGCAAAGAAAGTGGAAATGTCTGGATGTTTGGCCCTCCATCAATTCCATCTCAGCCATTCATTTGCTTTGGACAAGGATGATCACCAGCGGTTTCAGTTTTCCCACTGGAAGGGAGAAGACGCACAAACGCAGGTGATCGCTCTTGTTTCTTCGTCTTTCTGCTCCCCTCCCCTCCCCTCCCTGTTTCTGGCTTTAGCTGTCAGGATCTTTTAGAACCGACATACTCCTCTGAGGAAGTCAGAACAGCAATGGGGAAATGAGTAAAACCCCTATTATAAAACAGTTGTCCAAGAAGTTAGGCACTGCACAGGGTAGAGATCAATAGGCTGTGAAGGTTAAATCTATTTTCACACTATGTTCCATTTCACAGTCTAATGGTGTTTTAATGTGTCTGTCACCAATTCTCCCCTTCAAGTTACCCAGGTAGGGCCTTTACAAAAGAAGAGTTGTATTTCTCCCGAGTTTCACGCCGTAACATTTATTTGCTAGCCAAGTTCTGACACCTTTTCTTTCCTCTGTGGAGATCTGCTAGGCGCCGGTTATTTCCACATTCAAAAGGCAGAACACGGGGACGGCTTTTACAGGAATTTTAAATTATCTTTGACAAAGGCCTCTGGGGCTGTAGAGACTGCAGACCAATGAGGTTTTAGAGATTGAAGAGAATAAAACTCTAATGGGTTTTTAGTGAAGCTGTACACACGGAGGCAAACCGGAAATCAAAGTTTTCCCCTTAGTCAGCTCAGAAAGATCTGTCTGGTTGGTGTTTGGATTCCCATCATATCTGATGATGAACGAAGAACTAAAATCACCTTATACTTTTTTTTTTAAAGTTTTTTATTTTTTAGAGAAACAAACATTTAATACATCAGTTATCTCTTCCCTGCGACATTTTGGTGTTATCTTCCAAAGTTCTTTCTTCTTTTTATTTCTTCTATCTTGATCCTTATCCAAACCATTATATCAGTTCATCCCTAACATAATATTCTACTCATCACATATTTATACAAACCTATATAATTAATCATGTATATCTCTTCTCCAGCCAATAATAAAAATAATTCCATATTTTAAAATATTCTGAATCTTCTCTATCCTTAATCATCAGGGTTAATCTATTCATTTCTGCACAATCTAATTTTTTTTTTATTAGCTCTTCTTCCAGAGGTATTTTCTCTGCTTTCCAATTTTGTGCATAAACAATCCTTGCAGCTGTTATTACATGTATTATCAAATAAACATTTTCCTTACTAGTTTTTTTCAGGTAGGATACCCAATAGGAACAGCTCTGGTTTAAATTCGATACATTTCTGTATCATTTCCACCTTATACTTGATCTTTTAATTTTTTTCTCACCCAATGGATCGTGGATCAAAGGTTACAGATGTATATGGCTTCCATGGATAAGGGCTACATCTGGTGTTGGTGCCAAGCCAAAATAGAGAACAGTGCCAAGATAAATATTAGAACAGACTGCATTGTCATGCAAATGTAATGGACATCAAATATAATAAAGAACATTGTTTTCCATTTAGGGGTTTACTAGTTTTACCTTCCTATCCCATTAACTATTATGACCTGGAGCAAGTCTCAAAGTTTGCAAACATAGGGTTTTAATTCTCTGTTGTCTACTACATTCTTTATCTCTTTGAGAAAAATCTATGGAGATTCTCAATCATCCAGGTCATAGTTGTCCCAAAGGTGCTTTTTCCAAAAAGGCAACTCGACTTTCTTGGGGTTGTTTTTTTTTTTTCCTTTGAAAACTTCATCCAAGAAGTTTCTTCATTTTTAAAAAAATAAAGTCCAGTTGCCTTTTGGAAAAAGCATTTGGGAGAAAAACATTTTAAAACTCTTTCCACCCTTAAAAGGAATTTGATGGAATAGGTGGAACAAGGTAGGGTAAGCATTTTAGGAAGGCTGGGTGAAAGCTACAAAATATGGCAACAATTTGGTGAAATTAGAATACAATAGAATAAATAGTTGGAAGGGACCTTGGAGGTCCAACCCTCTGCTTAGGCAGGAAACCCTACACCACTTCAGACAAATGGTTATCCAACATCTTCTTAAAAACTTCCAGTGTTGGAGCATTCGCAACTTCTGGAGGCAAGTGGTTCCATTGATTAATTGTTCTAAGTCATCAGAGAGTCAAGCTGGATGTTTGGTTCACATTTAAAGGCTGCTACCTTTGGTTGGAGGGGACGCGGTGGCTTAGTGGCTAAGATGCTGAGCTTGTCGATCGAAAGGTCGGCAGTTCAGCGGTTCGAATCCCTAGTGCCGCGTAACGGGGTGAGCTCCCGTTACTTGTCCCAGCTTCTGCCAACCTAGCAGTTCAAAAGCACGTAAAAAATGCAAGTAGAAAAATAGGCACCACCTTTGGTGGGAAGGTCACAGTGTTCCGTGCGTCTTTGGTGTTGAGTCATGCCGGCCACATGACCACGGAGACATCTTCAGACAGCGCTGGCTCTTCGGCTTTGAAACGGAGATGAGCACTCCCCCCTAGAGTCGGGAACGACTAGCACGTATGTGCGAGGGGAACCTTTACCTTTACTATTGGTTGGAAAAAAATTAAAATAAGTGGATTAAGGTTTAAAACATTCGTTTTCCATCTCTCTTCTCTTTCAAACTAGACTTCCCCATTCACTGATGGTGTTGCCTGTCTGAGAATGAGACTGTAAGTCAAGGGTTAGCCGGAGCAATGTGGGAGAATATTGTCTGTGACAAGGCTGTGATGTTTCCGCTTACACTTCACTTTCCCTACAAGGAAAGAAACATACTAACTAAAAATAAAGTCTAGAGATTTGCTTGGTGTAATTGCATGGTGATAGACAAATCTATATCCATTGTGGAACTCTCAGAAGGAAAAAAAACAACAACAAATAATGCCATTCCAATGAAAGAACATTTCAGAATCCAAGCAGTATGAAAAACAAAAGCAAGAAACAAAAGCAAGCAAACAGCTGGCAGATGTGTCCAGTGAAACCCGCAAACCCACATGTGAAAGAACAGTGGAACGATAATTGTGCATTTCCTTTCCATTTGAAATTTGGGGCTCCATTGTGGCCGTAACTCAAGGACCACCTATATATTTAAGTGATTATCCACTAGGACTCCAAGATCCCTCTCACATTGCACGAAGTACGATGGATCATACTTCGATCAATATTGCATGATTTACAAAAGAACAAGGATTTGATCACAATTCACCCTCTTGTACACCCCTTGCAGATGCCCCTGGATGCACGCTGGTTGTGCAGAAAAGTTGGAGAAAGGAATGCAGTGTATGCCACCTTAAACTCCTAGAGCGGTGATGGCTAACGTTTTTTCCCTTGGGTGCCAAAACCACATTCACATGTGCTATCGGGTGTGTGCGCGTGCCCACACCCATAATGCAATGCCCTCCGCATGCCCCACCCCCTGCGCATGTGTGCGCAATCCCCCCATGCTGCCCTGCCTCCCTGTGCAGGCGCGTGCGACCCCCATATGCTCCCCCACCCCCACCCCACACAGGCATGTCCCATTTCCGGACTTCCAGTAGGCCTGTTTTTTGCCCTCCCCAGGCTCCGGAGGCTTTCCTGGAGCCTCCAAGAGGGCAAAAATGGCTTCCCCCAGCCTCCAGAGGCCGGAAACGGCCCATTTACGGACTTCCGGTAGGCCCATTTCTGCAGGCATGCGAGCCATCACCCTAGATCAGTTCCGCCGCATATGCGCACGCGCCTCCCACCGGCCAGCTGATTTTCAAGTCTCTGCCGCGCATGTGGCATGTGGCCTCCGTGCGAGCCCTGTACTTACCTGGCATCCAAAATGGGCTGTATGGAAATTCCTGGGAGAGGCAGGGCAGCATGGGCATTTCTCACATGCACGGCAGAGACCTGAAAATCAGCTGGCCGGTGGGAGGCGCGTGCGCATGTGTGGCGGAACTGACCTAGGGTGATGGCTCGCGTGCCTGCAGAAATGGCTCCACGTGCCACCTGTGGCACATGTGCCATAGGTTCACCATCACGGTCCTAGAGGATAGGTGATAGATATTAAATGAATGAATAAATTAATACAGGCCTACAGAGTGCCTACATGAAAATTAACTTTAGAGGTTTGCGCTGCTTATTTGTTTTGCTCTTTTCCCAGACTTCACCGTAACCCCCCCCCTTTTCTTTTTTGCTTGAATACTAATTTTAGAAAACGAAGCACAACAGGAAATTTAATATTTCCTGCCCTCCTGCATATCAAAGCACTCGAATCAAGAGTTTGCACCCACTTCTATACATGCTCGCATGTTTCACATATGTGCATCTGCTAGCATTTAGCAGTGAACAATAATGCTGTTTGTAGTACGTTTTTCTTTCTTTCTTTCCAGATAGTTGCTTGGATTCTCAAATGTTGTTACAGCTGTCCTGAAATCCTGACGAGGGTGGAGGGATTTATTCCTGGCCTTCTCTCCTACATCCCCTCAAAACCGATGCTTGAATCCTTTCTGAACTGTCACCATAGCAACCTGAGCTGGTTCATAAGGGATCTCCCTTGTTTCCTTGGGGTCAACAATGAAAGGGGGGGGGGGCTGCGTAGCTAAGGAGAAAGAGAGCAACTATTAGAACTTTCCAGAAGTCATTTCATCCCCCCAAGAGGCCCAAAGAAGCAGTTCGGCCTTTATTATTGTCAAAGAGACGGAAAAAAGCTGCCTTTTTATTTCCATCGGCTCTTCTATAAGATACGGACGGATGGGTGAATAGACAGACAGACAAGATAATAAATTCAATGAACCTTGGCAGATCGCAAGAATTAAATGAGCCTCGTCCTTCAATCATGAAAAATCTCATTCTCTGAAAGAGAGCGATGCAGCTGTCCAGATGCCAAAAGGCAACAGGTCCCTTGGGGGCTCTCAAGTGGGACAATTTGGCCGAAGAAGTGACTTCTTTTTCCTTGTCTTGCATTGACCCATGGAAGGAAAAGACACTTTCCATTTAAGGAAATGCTTCCAGGTGCTATGTGCATGCCCGTACACGCTCTCCACCTTGTCACAATCCGAATTGTGGCACACAATCCTAGAAAGCAAATGCTCTTTTATCAAAAGGAGTGAGAACCAGTGGTGAAATCCGATTTCTTTTACTACCAGTTCTGTTGGCATGGCTTGGTGGGCATGGTGTGGCTTGGCGGGCGTGGCAGGGGAAGGATATTGC